TTAAACAAAAATATGTCTTCCTACGGACTGTTACATTGTGACTAAATACACTCATCATTGATACCAGGATTGGAAATTGATAAGACTGTCGTACAAGTGAGAGGTTTAGCACTATAAAACCAGGTGTTCAATCCACCATTTTCTACATTTGAAAATGCCTGTACCAAGTCAGGAATATGACAGTTGTTGTCCATTCGTTTGATGTGTTTTGTCATTTGATTTTGCCATGTGATTAGGGACTTTCCGATTGAATTTTCCTCGGAGTTCAGTATTTTTGTGATTTTACTTTGTACGCACATTTCCTCTACAAAATACTGAGCTAGCAAATTGAAATTCCAAAGCAGCCTTTTGGTCTAATACAAATCAGGGGTTTCTCATATTTGATTAATATATCAATAAAACAAAACAAAAAACAAAAAAACAAACTAAAGAAAAAACCAAGTATTTTGTGATAACATTATATACATACATGTATTATCCTTTGTTGCAGAATTGTCCTGAAACTGATTTAAATATTCCGACATTGGATGGAAAACTGGCTGAAGAGATGACCAATAACAAAAACATTATCAAAATAGTTCAGAGGGGCAGACGGGGACATCCTGTCAGGTAAGATAGCATACTATTGACCAATTAAATTATTGTCATACCTTGAAGGAAAATCAAGCAAGACATAAAGATCTTACATTCCTTCTGAGCCATCATTGAAATTAAAGTTCTTAGATAACTTTGTTAAACATTAATGGAATTTTATGAAACATGGACAGAAACTTCATCATGACCAAAAAACAGTATTTAGAACAAAATTTTAAATATTTTATTAAAATTTTATGATTTTAATTAATGAATTGACCTATTTATTTCATTTATTATTTAGATGCAGTCTTGGGTTAAAGTTTTTAGACATAATTTTCTTGCTTTAAAACTTTTTGATCCAGAGGTAGTATATATATATATATATATATATATCAATCTAGTATGACAATTTTCCATTTGCCAACAGTGGAATATTTTTATCCAATACAGAGTCCTAGGTCTGTGTGGACATTTGAAAAGAAAAGAATTTTATGCTATGCACTTGTTTGGCAGAATCATTAAGGATATAATTGTTGTACGTGTAAATAGTTCAAATACATGTGACCCCTTATAAGGCAATTTTGATTCGTTTTTAATTGATGTCATCCTAGAATTTGGTAAGTTCATTAATACCATGTTATCAATTCTATTATCTGCCTGACAGTCACCTCCTGTTTGACACCACCACATATTTGTTCATTGCCACTGAGGTTACAAGATTTGATTGTTTTCCTGGCTTGAAATGACTTGAAAGATTTCATAGTTGGTCTGGTGCTTAGCATTAGCAAGTTGTTCTGAAAGTTAGGGTATACTTTTTGTGTTCCTGTTGCTCGCCAGGTTTCTATGTTGTCTTTTGTAGACTGTAGTTTGTTCTTTTGTCATTTTTGGGTTTTTTGCGATGGGGTAATCAGTTTTATCTTTAATTTACGAGTTTGAATATCACTTTGTTATCTTGCGCCTTACTTTTACATGACATTGCATGCAAGTTTTGTTTTCAGGTTTAAAGTGTCTTATATTTTTATGTTTTCAGATCTAAGCCATCTTCAAAATCTCGTTCCTCTTCTGTCACAAATGCTTCAATATATACACAGCCATTCCATTCAGAAGCACAATCTACCATCAATTTGGAGAAAGTTCATTCCCGATTCGAAGCCATGAAGCTTAATTTGCATAAACATTCACACCAGGAACAAACTTCATAATTATCTGAACTCGATTGCATTTATTTTGTATTTTGTATTCAACTGTTGTAAAATTGTTTTGTTAAATATCAGTACTTGGACAATTCGTGCAAGTTTTTATTCATGCAAATTATTTACATTAATAAAGAAATTGTTTTGTTATGTTATTATATTGCATTTGTTATCAGTTGATGCACATAAACATATCTTAAATAAATAAATACAATACTATTTTGATTAATGCTTCAGATATTAAAATGAAATAACTTGATTAATTTCTAGTCGTGTAGCATTATCCATTATGATAAGACCACTATTGAAAAAAATATGTAGGTGAATAAATTCCTAATTGTGAGATCACTAAATTTGACATATCATTGTTTCATGAAGGCTGCCACTTGTTAATTAGAATCTACTTTCTCATCTGAAATACCCGCCTTTACCCCTGTAACACCGCTAGAGCAAATAAGACCAGATTTCAGTTATTGACTGTTAACATAATGCAAATGGCTATTGTGAACTTATGCTTGTTAATTTTGTCTGTCTTTCCTCTGGTATCTTTTCACATTTTCAAAGCTGTTTCTCATATCTAAATATCTAAGTACAAATTGCAAGATGAATTAAGTTTCAGATAATAACTTTGTCAAGTCATGGAAGTATTATAATGATAGGAACTACAACCATTTATAAGCACTTATTATTAACCAAGGTAGCGCTGTAGAAAAGATATGGAATCTGTCTAATAAGTACAGTATCGTTAATTTCTTTTGTGACTATCTGTGATGCCGTGGTCATATATTGACCAGAGATACTTCTAATCAATCACATGGTTTTTATCAAGACAGGTTATAACATCAATACCTGTCGGAAACACCTTTGCTTATTTTAATTGTTTCGGTTGACCTTTAGCCGTAAACAACTTATTTAAAACAATCCACTGATGCATAAAAAATGAAAATTGGCCCAGAATTATTTATACTACAACGTTTTAAAACAGTGACTGACAATATTTTATTTTTTCAGAGGTTAAGTTTAAATCGTTATAAAGGTGTGTTCCGGTTTTTGCCGAGTCACAAAAATTTTCTTGATATAAAAAGACATTGTGGAAAATCTAGTAATATATATAGTTAAGGGCCAGGATGAGCCAGGAAAGTAGAAATTTTCAGTTGAAAATTCGAAAATTAATCGATCAAGTGCTCAATAACACGTTTGAAGACGGGTCGTAGTAGTTCCTGCTAATATAATACTTCCATGGTCCAACATTAATGGAATTTTAAGAAACTTACGCATAAGCCTCATAATAATATTGTTTTTGTATGTAAATCGTACTACTACTAGTGTCTTGTAAAAGAATTAGGAATGAATGAGCACTCAGATAATTCCACATACAAACCCATATCATTTGACAATTCCACCATTCCCCTTGTCAAATTGAAAAATCGTCTAAAAGGAATAATCCACAATGCTTTTCAATATAAAAATGGTAGCATACGCTATACATTTATTGTTTTGGGATACTATACGGCATATTTTGTTAATAGTGAACAAAAAGGTAAACATGCTACACCGAGGAACAAGTGATCAGTATTCTGGAGTTTCTTATTGACAACATATTTGTTGAATTTGGAGGTAGACTTTTTCAACAAATTGTCGGCATTCCTATGGGAACGAACTATGCGCCTCTCCTTGCCGACCTCTTCTTATTTTCATACATTTGGTCAAAAAACAAGAAGACCAAAGAAGCCAGATCATTTAATTTTACATTCAGATATATTGATGATGTTCTTTCCATTAACAATCCAAAGTTTTCTGATTGGGTTCCATTAATATATCCTCCAGAACTAGAAATTAAAGAAACAACAGACACGGCTTCCTCCGCCTCATTTTTAGACTTATACCTCGGATTTGACATAAGTGGCCATCTCAGTACCAGAATCTATGACAAACGAGACGATTTTAATTTTGAAATTGTCAATTTCCCCCACCTTAGTAGCAATATACCAACTTCACCTGCATATGGGATATACATTTCCCAACTCATTCGGTATTCAAGAGCTTGCAGCTGCTAAAACCCTTCACGGAGACCCTCGCTCAAGTGTGCGCTTTAATAAATACTGAGGATTGGTATGTACACGACGTCATAGTTTATTACTTTGAATTTGAAATTTAATAGACAGTAATAAAATAACATTCTTATGTTGTACTGTAACACCACTGTCCCAGGTTAGGGGAGGGTTGGGATCCCGCTAACATGTCTAATCCCGCCACATTCGATTTGTAAGCCAAGTCAGGAGCCTGTAATTCAGTGGTTGTCGTTTGTTGATTTGATATATATATGTTTTTCGTTCATTTTTTTGTACATAAATTAGGCCGTTAGTTTTCTCGTTTGAATTGCTTTACATTTGTCATTTTGGGCCTTTTATAGCTGACTATGCGGTATGGGCTTTGCTCATTGTTGAAGGCCGTACGGTGTCATTTGGTCTCTTGTGAAGAATTGTCTCATTGGCAATCATACCAAATCTTCTTTTTTATATTCAGTATAATAAATTAAATAACACATCTGAGAGGGTGATAGAGCAGATTGTTACCCCTCGAAAAGACATTGTCAACCTTGGCTTCGCCTCAGTTGACAATGTTTTCTCGGGGTAACAATCTGCTCTATCACCCTCTCAGATATGTGTTATTTATATACTTTTATTTGTCTTTGTATATTATTAACCTTTACTGTGTTGTCCATTATTAATAACATTCTTTGGGCGTGGCTCGATACTTGTACATCCCGCCATTGTGGTCATTTTTTGCATTCTTGTCTTTCATTTTTGCTTATGTGCTTTGTCTATATGCCATTTTGTTTTTCTTTGTTTTCATATTTGTTTGTTTTTATAGTGATTAAGATAATAAAACAACGTTGACTGCTGTACCCGAATTTTTGACATTCTTACCTATAAATAGTATGTCTGTTTGTTTTGTTCACCCAATGTTGTCAATATAATGGAATTTTATACGACTGTCATACAAGTGAGAGGTTTAGCTAGCAATAAAACTAGGTTTAATCCACCATTTTCTACATAAGGAAATGCCTGTACCAAGTCAGGAATATGACAGTTGTTTTCCATTCGTTTGATGTGTTTGAGCATTTGATTTTGCCATTTGATAAAGGACTTTCCGTTTTGAATTATCCTTGGAGTTCGGTATTTTTGTTATTTTCCTTTTCATCATGCTCAAAAGACAGTATCTAGAACACAATTTTTAAATATTTTATTTTAATGAATGGACCTGGTTATTTTAGTTAATAAGAGCCAGTCTGCCAGAAAACCATGCAAAATCATAAAAATTGTCCAAATGGGATGTCGGAACTTTTGAAATATTTTTATTTTTTTGATATCTTATATAAAAAGGAAAAGTAAAAATATATCTTAGATTTTGTTGCATCGTGTCTATTTTTTGAAACAGCTTCATTTGCATAAATGCCTGAAAATCACTATTAAACATACTAGTGAAAAATTATTGCAAGATGTTCAAATTTGCATCTAACTTTCCTATATTTCGATAATTTTCTGAATTATTTAAATTCTAATAAAAACACATTAACTCTAAGCTATGAATTAACTTAAAACCTGAATTACATGAAATTACTGCATGACACATTTTACATAAATAATGTCATTATTTTTATGTATTATGCCAAAAATCTCTGGAATAGGGACACAAAACAGTCACAGTTGTTCTATGAGTGATCTCCCCATATTTACATTCTCCGTTGTGAAAACAATGTTACCATTAGTTGTCTGTCTTGGAAAAGGGGAACAAGAAATGGGACTTCTCATATTTACTGGTATTTCTTGTGGAAAATAATCAAATTACGACAATGACACACTCACAATACCTTTTTCATAATGAAATAAGAACACACATATACATTTTATTGGACTGTAGTGTCTGGAAAGAAGTCAAAGTGAACCCAGACAGTTTACTTATTTTCAAACCGCACTGGATTTTTTGACATTGATACTAAATGCTAGATTGCTTGAGTTAAACATAGGCCAGCAACACAGAGACTATTTTTGGCATTTATTGGAGAGGAAACTTAAGTGAACTGAATTGTTGCTACCTAAAACCTGAGACATACTATATTGATTAGTATATTAGTCCAAGATCTTAGTGAAGAAATACAATGAATTATTCAGATGAGTTAAATGCCACAAATAAGTGTAAAGACAGTTATCATATAACAAACTGTCATTTGGAAAGAAATATGAACCTAATCTTTAAACTGGATGTTATTAAAAAAAATCAGGTCAATAGTTACAAGTCACGTGTATGACTCTATAATAATTGGTCAAATATAAAGAAAAATAAACTTGATCGATTACACAACTGCATTTCAACATTAAATCAATATTTGTAAGCAAAACACAAATCAAATCATTTTGGCCTTTTGCTAAATATATTATAAAATATCCCTATGTTTGGTTAAATATTCTAGACAAACACGTATTTCAGCCTTTCAATAGAACTATAAACAGCTATATCATGTTTAGTAGGGGAATTTACGAATACCACCAATCATGAAACTGCAAGAATGCGGACGTTTAGAATAATAATGGCTAAATTTATTCCTCCTTTGTTCTTTTTATTTGTTAGTTAAACGCATTGTGTAAAAATAGAGTAAGTACTTAAGAATGAAATAGAAAATTTCTTCAAAATTGACAAATATTTCATTGTGACTGAGAAAAAATAAAGAATTGTGGAATAATTGCCAATGAGTATACACAAAAAGCAATGAATGTTCAAAATCATCACACTGTATAACATGCTCACTTAAGTTTAAAGCCTGATACAAAATTTAAGGAAGCTCGTGTTTATAATACTCCAGAGAAAAATGCGACGGAAATTTCATTCGACAAAGGGATGGACAGACAAGGAAAGACAAGGTTTAAACAATGTACCCCTCCTTATACATATGGCCGAAAAATTAAGAAAACAGGCAAGATAAAAGTTATTTAGCCTAAAAAGGTGTTTCCCTATATGCGAACAAATCATGAAAAATCTCTTCTTGTATCTTTATTTCTATTTTGAATCTTGATTTTTTTCTACAATTTTTCGTTATTTTATATAGCAATTATACTACGGTTACGATTCCAAGTTTCAAACTGAAAACTTCGAAAGTTTTCAATGTCGACAGTTTAAATTTTTACACGAACAGAAAGCAAAAAAACATGTACAATTCACTTGTTTGCGGACAAATTGTTGATTCAACTTAGGAATTGGCAAATTTGCATTTTAATTTTAGGGCACGTATAATCCTGTTGTAATGGCTGTCGTCATGATAAGGCAATATGGCCACTATGCAAATTAGCAAAGTACCATAAATTTTGTCATATGGTAAGTGGGGATATAAAAATAACATACGTACAGACAGACAGAAATAAGAACATATGCTCATAGCACACCATGCTTTGTTATTATTTTTCTATGTAGTATTATGTAGACTATCGTGTCTTTTCATCTGTTTTTCGTTTTTTTACTATGGGGTTGTCAATTTCTTTTGGAATGATGAGTTTTAAATGTCCTTTTAATATATTTCGCCTGTTTTAAGAAGGCCAAATCAATACAAAATTTAAGGACAGTTATAACCATACAAATCCAAAAAATTATGCCAAACCCGTTTTGAAAGCAATCTATGCATTGAGGTCGACAAACCTTGGAACCTATTACATGGCCAAAGATTCCGAAAACAACTTTCGACTGAATGTATTCTTTAAGATTACACTCATTAAAAACAGACAACATTAGGGTCAATTGAAAAATGTAGATAGGACGGGCAATAATAAAAAAAGTACACATGCAACTAAAAACAAACAAAACGAAACACATAAAATATTTTTGAATTCGATCGGCTAGATACTAAACACAACAGTTTCTGATCCACAAATTGCTTTCAGTATGTTAATCTGAGTTCAAGTTCAAGTCGCATTCAATCAAGTCCAGTTCGATGGAAAGAGAACGGTAACGTGGGAACACTAAGTAGAACATTTGGTAATATTCTAAACAAATTTTGAAAATACACACTAATTGATGATGTCACCACTGCAGTTATCTTTAATCAATTCAAGTTTAAAATCTCTGTCGTACAAGTGGGAAGTTTAACTAGCTATGAAACCAGGTTCAACCCACCATTGTCTACGAAAATGCCTGTAGCAAGTCAGGAATATGGCAGTTGTTTTTCACTTGTTCCGTTGATTGATAGCGGTATGATTTTGTCAGTTTTTATGGACATGCCCTCTTTTTAAATTTGCCTTGGAGTTCTGTATTTTTGTTATACTTTTTTTTCGCAAATATTGATAAACATTCATAGGGGTTTTATGTACAGTCTGGAAAATATATTAAATATGCAGTTATAATTGATTTTTCTTATTATAAGCAATTCATGTTTCTTCTCTAGATCTTCGGATGTCTGCCGTTTTAGCTGTCGCACTGAAGAAGAGGAGCTGTATCTGGATCTTTTAAGCCCTTCACTGTTTCCCATTTATTCTCTGAATCAGATGAGGTGTAATCAGTTGCCATAGAAACTATAAAGACATATAAGAAAGACATGCATAACTCGACATACATCTATACTATAAATAAATCAGTAATTTAGTAATCTAAATTGAAAAAAAGAGAAACAATAAATAATCGATTTATTTAAGTGTGGTTGTATTCTATGTTATTTTGTAAATATACTCATACCAACCAGTCAACTGCAAAATTCCAGATGGAAAAACCATTATGGTAGATGAACCTATATATGAAAACTCGTCGATTCTCTGATTTCTGAGTCATTTTTTGGGCATGTTGGGGGATAAAAACTTCTTTAACTTCATTTATACTGTTTAATTGCTCAGAAGTAACATTTCTACGATGAGACCAGAGCAGTGTTGTGCAACAATATTACAGATATATCTTAACATTCAAAATAATGTTTATATTTTGCAATATATTTTGCGGTTCTAATTTTAATGCATCAGTTGCTATTAATGCATATTCACATGTTTCAGTGAACTGATGTTTGCAAGAATTGTGTTAGTTATACGAGTTAAAAGAATTATAGGGGAGGGTTGAGATCTCTCAAAACATGTTAAACCCCGCCACATTGTTGCACTTGTCTCAAGTCAGACACCTCTGGCCTTCGTTAGTCTTGTGTGTTTCCTTTGTATGTTTCGGAGTTTAGTGTGGCATCTATTACGCTGAAGTAGTATAATACATTATTGTTTAAGGGCTGAGTTGAAGGTCGGGTTATTGAATCTTTGACACATTCCCCGTTTTCATTCACTATTATATTTTGTCACCATAAATATAATCTGTATCTCAATTAAATATCCAGCTCAGAACTTGAATGGTGTAAATTTCCATTACACCATATATACGTTTTATTGGGAAGTTTACACCATTCTAGGTATGTATACCTTTTTCAAATTGATCTTCTTTCTGTTCTTTACGTTTTTGTCGACTACATAGTACGCAGGAACACAACAATATACCAGCTACAGCACATTCCGCTGAGAAACCTTGGGCTAATCCCTCTGTCATTAACTCTGAAAATATTTTAAATGGCATTACACAGTACTGTTCCATTTGCTTTGACAATCATTTAGATTTTTACAGTTTGAATTGCAAATAAGCAGAAATTCAAATTTTATCAAATATCCAGGCAATAATTCTTTATCTCTATTACGAAACGATTGTGTTTAGTTAATTTCGTATCTAGAAACATATCCTTTTTTCATTTTTTTTTTCAATTCAAATATGTTTGTCATTAATAAAGAATTGAAAGCTTCTTTTTATATTTTCATTTGAGTGTAAAATCATTGACCAAAGCAAAGTTTGTACGCTTAAAATGTGCGCATGATCAACGCCTTTACAACCCTATACAATTATAAAAAGAAGATTCAATTCTTATAATTACATTTTTATGCTACAACCATGAAATTAAGAGTTGTATCAAGATTTTCGTTTGTTTTTCTATGCATTTTTTTAATATGCCACTGATAACAGGTGCAGTCATAGCTGCAATTGGATTGTTGTCATACAAGCAGAATCACGGATTCTTATAAAACATACATGTAAGTAATTATTAACGATTTTGTTATAAATACCGAATAATAAGATATTTGTTTAGTAGACAACAGCTAGAAAAATAACCAAAATATTTTCATCGAAGAAAATTGTTTTTTGATTGTTGCACAGACATTTATTGGATTATTTGTTACCTTTTCAATTAAAATGTTTTGTTAATTTTTGTCAGAATATGGTTTATGATTTGTTCAGTAAAAAACTGGCCTTTGTTTATCCTGCAGTCGCAGACAGTACATTAATGGAATGTTAGAATACTACATGTACAGCACGATCCTGAACAAGACAAATGCCACATGCGGATCAGATGCAAGTTTATGAAAGAGTATAACAAAACTACCAAACTCCAAGGTAAATCAAAAAGGGAAGTCTATAAAAACTGACAAAATCAAACATTGTCAACCAACAAAACGAGTGAAAAACATCTGTAATATTCCTGACTTGGTACAGGTCTTTTCTGAAGGAAATGGTGGGTTTAACCTGGTTTTTTAGCAAGCTTATCATCTCATTTATATGAAGTTTGTTTATGATTCCGTTATATGACTAAATTGGGTTATCTTTTTTATTGGTCGAGACAAAATTCAACTATATCGTATTTTTAAACGAAATTCGTTTGCAAGAATGATATCTTAACATCCAAACAAAAATCTGTGTTACAATAAGTACTAACTGTTCATTCGTGCTATCTAGCTTTTCTCTCTCATATGACGCATAATTTAAAAATGTGTTTCTAAATGCCATATGTTATGAATTCAAACCAGACTCCTCATTATACTGCTATTTTTTTTTCATTTAATGACCTTTTTCTTGTTTAATCTTAGATCTCAAATAAACTTGAAAAAGACTGGCAATTTGACATTCAAACTTATAGTTCGAAAAAAAACCACAAATGCCATTGCAAAAAACGAAAAGCGGCCAAAAGACGCTCGTGTCGTCTACATAAGACTCATCAGTGACGCTCGAATCAACAAAGTTAAAAAGGCCAAATAAAGTACGAAGTTGAGGCGCATTCAGGAAGCAAATTTCTGAAAGTTTTTTTTTCATATACAGCTAAGGTCATCTATTCCTAAGGAAGAAAATCGGCTGTTTTCTGCTCTTTTGTTTCAGAATGTAACCAACTACGGTTAATGTCTTTATTCGTACCCCAGATGTAAACAACTATGGTTACTGTCATTATTCGTACCCCAGATGTAAACAACTATGGTTACTGTCATTATTCGTACCCCAGATGTAAACAACTATTGTTAATGTCATTGTTCGTACCCCAGATGTAAACAACTATGGTTAATGTCATTGTTCGTACCCCAGATGTAAACAACTATGGTAAATGTCATTGTTCGTACCCCAGATGTAAACAACTATGGTTAATGTCATTATTCGTACTCCAGATGTAAACAACTATGGTTAATGTCATTGTTCGTACCCCAGATGTAAACAACTATGGTTACTGTCTTTGTTCGTACCCCAGATGTAAACAACTATGGTTAATGTCATTATTCGTACCCCAGATGTAAACAACTATGGTCAATGTCATTATTCGTACCCCAGATGTAAACAACTATGGTTACTGTCTTTGTTCGTACCCCAGATGTAAACAACTATGGTTAATGTCATTATTCGTACCCCAGATGTAAACAACTATGGTTAATGTCATTGTTCGTACCCCAGATGTAAACAACTATGGTTAATGTCATTATTCGTACCCCAGATGTAAACAACTATGGTTACTGTCTTTGTTCGTACCCCAGATGTAAACAACTATGGTTACTGTCTTTGTTCGTACCCCAGATGTAAACAACTATGGTTAATGTCATTGTTCGTACCCCAGATGTAAACAACTATGGTTACTCTCTTTGTTCGTACCCCAGATGTAAACAACTATGGTTAATGTCATTGTTCGTACCCCAGATGTAAACAACTATGGTTAACGTCATTATTCGTACCCCAGATGTAAACAACTATGGTTAATATGTCATTGTTCGTACCCCAGATGTAAACAACTATGGTTACTGTCTTTGTTCGTACCCAGATGTAAACAACTATGGTTAATGTCATTATTCGTACCCCAGATGTAAACAACTATGGTTAATGTCATTATTCGTACCCCAGATGTAAACAACTATGGTTAATGTCATTGTTCGTACCCCAGATGTAAACAACTATGGTTAATGTCATTGTTCGTACCCCAGATGTAAACAACTATGGTTAATGTCATTGTTCGTGCCCCAGATGTAAACAACTATGGTTAATATGTCATTGTTCGTACCCCAGATGTAAACAACTATGGTTACTGTCTTTGTTCGTACCCCAGATGTAAACAACTATGGTTAATGTCATTATTCCTACCCCAGATGTAAACAACTATGGTTAATATGTCATTGTTCGTACCCCAGATGTAAACAACTATGGTTAATGTCATTGTTCGTACCCCAGATGTAAACAACTATGGTTAATGTCATTGTTCGTACCCCAGATGTAAACAACTATGGTTACTGTCATTATTCGTACCCCATATGTAAACAACTATGGTTACTGTCATTGTTCGTACCCCAGATGTAAACAACTATGGTTACTGTCATTATTCGTACCCCAGATGTAAACAACTATGGTTACTGTCATTGTTCGTACCCCAGATGTAAACAACTATGGTTAATGTCATTATTAATACCCCAGATGTAAACAACTATGGTTACTGTCATTATTCGTACCCCAGATGTAAACAACTATGGTTACTGTCATTGTTCGTACCCCAGATGTAAACAACTATGGTTAATGTCATTATGCGTACCCCAGATGTAAACAACTATGGTTAATGTCATTATTCGTACCCCAGATGTAAACAACTATGGTTAATATCATTGTTCGTACCCCAGATGTAAACAACTATGGTTAATGTCATTGTTCGTACCCCAGATGTAAACAACTATGGTTAATGTCATTGTTCGTACCCCAGATGTAAACAACTATGGTTAATATGTCATTGTTCGTTCCCCAGATGTAAACAACTATGGTTACTGTCTTTGTTCGTACCCCAGATGTAAACAACTATGGTTAATGTCATTATTCGTACCCCAGATGTAAACAACTATGGTTACTGTCTTTGTTCGTACCCCAGATGTAAACAACTATGGTTAATGTCATTATTCGTACCCCAGATGTAAACAACTAGGGTTACTGTCTTTGTTCGTACCCCAGATGTAAACAACTATGGTTAATGTCATTATTCGTACCCCAGATGTAAACAACTTTGGTTACTGTCTTTGTTCGTACCCCAGATGTAAACAACTATGGTTAATGTTATTATTCGTACCCCAGATGTAAACAACTATGGTTAATGTCATTGTTCTTACCCCAGATGTAAACAACTATGGTTAATGTCATTATTCGTACCCCAGATGTAAACAACTATGGTTAATGTCATTATTCGTACCCCAGATGTAAACAACTATGGTTAATATCATTATTCGTACCCCAGATGTAAACAACTATGGTTAATGTCATTGTTCGTACCCCAGAAGTAAACAGCTATGGTTAATATGTCATTGTTCGTATCCCAGATGTAAACAACTATGGTTAATGTCATTGTTCGTACCCCAGATGTAAACGACTATGGTTAATATCATTGTTCGTACCCCAGATGTAAACAACTATGGTTAATGTCATTGTTCGTATACCCAGATGTAAACAACTATGGTTAATGTCATTATTCGTACCCCAGATGTAAACAACTATGGTTAATGTCATTGTTCGTACCACAGATGTAAACAACTATGGTTAATGTCATTATTCGTACCCCAGATGTAAACAACTATGGTTAATGTCATTGTTCGTACCCCGGATGTAAACAACTATGGTTAATATGTCATTGTTCGTACCCCAGATGTAAACAAATATGGTTTATGCCATTGTTCGTACCCCAGATGAAAACAACTTGATTTAATGATTTTTACTGGTTCGGACGTTTAATGCGAATCAAATCGTTTTGGTCTACACTTTTTGAAAATTTTACCCAGAATGCATTCGATTCTGAGTTCACATGTTTTCGATTGTTTTTCATTTATCTCAAAGTTTGTCTAATAAGAAATAACCGAAAAGCAAAACAATGTATATTCTTAGTTGAACGATTGGTTGAATAACTGTTTGACGATCACTGCACAGCAATTTGAGCTTATTCAGGATAAAAACAAATTAAACAATAAGCAATTAAATAGGATATACACAGAGTGTCAAATAAACATTCGGTACAAGTAAAATTTTCATACGACAAATATCTATGTGATCAGGTGTCCGTTCCCTAAATCTAGTTTTTCGGAATTAAAGGGAAAAACAAAACTCACTCGAGTAACTTGGTCTGTATGTGGGACATGTGCAGCAGTATCTTCCTGTTAGGCGTTTCCTACGGCGACAATAGATACACAAATAGATTCCTACTCCTGTGAGAACACACATGCCAACAATGCCACCTGTTATTCCACCAATCAAGCCATCTGAATGAGATATAAGTGCTCTATGAACTTAGTCTTAACAGTTGATGGCATTGCAGTCACTCAATGCCATCGTCACATGCACTTGTGCGAGTGTAAGAACTTATCAAGTAAAATATTTTTGGTGGTATTAAGATAATGAAAGGACTTTTTTCGATTTAGTGAAGTTGTAAGAAGGCCAAAAAAAAAACAACTGAAGTTTTTAATTTTTCATGAACATGATCAATGTGTAGAGAGATTGAAATGTTTTAATAACAATGTGCCTATAGGTTGTAGTCTTGTAATTGACTGCTTCATAGGCTATATGCAAAACAACTGATCATTTGAAAATAAATTACAATAAAATGCTACATAGAATTTTTTTTCATGTACATATCATGTATGTATTAATGTGAAATTATGATTAAATGGGAAAAAAGTGCCTCATGCCACGAAGAATAAAAAGTTATGAAACCCTGAAGTCAAAATTACTCTTTTCTACTCTCTGTTTGAAGTTGTTACTAGTCCGCACCACTTCTAGTTAACATCATATCCTTCCACTTTCCTGATTTGATATCCCAGGAAAGATGCAACATTTTATAAAAATCTAAAAAGATGTTTCAATTCAGCATAAAATTTTAATCAAACAGAAAAAAATGGACTACTTCATTTCAATCTATGTTTTCATATGCTCCGGAAACTGGAGTTGTAATACAAGACTGGTACCTAATACAGTAAAGACATTCTTAACAAAAAAACCAATTCTTCATTTTGTTTTCATTGGGTAGCCATATTTGAACCTAAAAATGCCATTAAAAGAATTGTTCTTTTAAAATTGAAAATCACATATGCTGCCATAATCTAATTCAACCTCGAACTGTTGTGCTTGATATCTTTTTATACTTCTGCATGCATGGTTTCTTGCATAAAGAAATACCTATGCAGGTTTCAGTCTTGTATTTGTAATTGTAATTCAAGACTGGTACCTTTAGACCGGGCGTTCGGTTACTTGATGATAATGTTGTTTTATGCAAAATTTTAATTTTCTTTTTTCCCCAATTATTTTGTAGTCTTATAATAAATATATTATTATTATTATTATTATTATTATTATTATTATTATTATTATTATAATCATACCCATTAGATAACCAAAGTACATAATAGAAATAAAAGTACTTACAATTGTATTCCCATTTTGTTTCAATTTGAAAACTAAAAGTATCATTTAGTTTGTCTGGAATCAATTCCTGTTGTTTTCTGTCATCATATCTGTTATAACCATTATTCTCTAGTTTTGATTTTTTTAGTTCAAATGAAACATGATTTGCATCGACTAAACATCGTGAAAACATTCTGTTATTGCCATATGAGTTGCCTGAACAGCCTTCTCCTAATATCTTAAAATAAGGAAAAGGATACCAAAACGTGGACAAGGTAGAAGACCTACTTGCAGTAGAAAACGAATATAACAATTAGAAAGATTTATAAATGCGCATTTGCCAGTTCTGTCTTTTAAACATAATTTCAAAGTGTTATTTTGACAAAAGAAAAATGTTAGAAAGGAGCAAACGATTTCCTACATATTTTTTTTTATGTTAGTGTACAGTATTATGATGCATTAAGACAAGAGATAGATTAAATTAGTATCACAACCGTGTCGCATATTCTGGTCTGCTTAGAGACATCTCGTCGTCGCTGCAGTTTTAATAAGTTAGATGTGTAGATAATTGATACTTTAATACGACACAGACTTGCCTATAAAATGAAGAACACGATACTTATATACATTTACAGTGATATCATATACAGATGTCTAGTCTAAGAAATGATTCCGTTTAACGAACTATGTGTCGAGAAAATGATTGTCAAAATTATTTGATTAGCCATAATATCTTTTTTCCGCCCTCCATCATGAACCCAATGACGTAAAACATTTCCCCTAGCCTTACACATCCAAACATATAAATACATATTCAACCGTTCATTTTAATTGAATTTTGTGACGTCATGACGTGTTGTTTTAAAGGTTAAAAATTATTTTTATCGACATATCATTTTTAAATTAATGATATGTAGTTATACGGACTTCGTCCTCTTTCAAAGTAAAACTCATCTCATATAATAGAACCAATTTTAGATTAAATAAATAATGTTACGCAAAAGAATAACTGATTATAAGACTTCATAGAATAATGCCCGCCTCGGTGGTCTCGTGGAAGCGTGTACGAATCGAGTGCGAGAGGTCGTGGGTCAAACTAAAGACCTAGTTATAGTAAAGACTGGTATATTTATCTGATTGTTTTTTATTTTCCTACCCTTTCTTTACGTTTGCTTTGTACCTGTACAATATATATTACCTGCTCATTATTGTAGTCATAGTTGTAGTAGTCAGACCAATACTTCTTGAAGTTAACTTTACTCTGACATTTTGGGCTACTGTAATAAAGTTCTTTCATGCACATTGTATATGAATAGAAAGCAGATTTTGGAGTTGTGAACGACATTTGTCTACATTCCGGGCTGCCGAAATTCCCTTCAAACTTCATGTAAACCATGGTATTTTCGTCAACAAGATATGGATCAGAAACACATGAATCAGTTGGAAATGAATCTAATAAAATATAAAAAGTTAATATTCAACTTGAAAGGCATACGTATGATTGGACAAAGATAAATTAGGTCCCAGTACTTAAAATCTTTCAATCCTTTATGGGTGGATTTTACATAGATAAATAAAATCGTATAACAAAAAAGCAATGCATGAGTTTGTTAAGTTTTACGATGCCTTTTTGTGCTTCTTTGCTACATTTTTTTGTTTTATAGTGATTAAGATGATAACACAATGTTGACTGCTGTACCCCTATTTTTGACATTTTTACCTATTGTGTCTGTTTGTTTTGTTCACGCAACGTTGTCAATATAATGGAATTTGATGCGACTGTCATACAAGTGAGAGGTTTAGCTAGCTATAAAACCAGATTCAATCCACCATTTTCTACATAAGAAAATGCCTGTACCAAGTCAGGAATATGACAGTTGTTATCCACTCGTTTGATGTGTTTGAGCTTTTAATTTTGCCATTTGATTAGGGACTTTCCTTTTTGAATTTTCCTTGGTGTTCAGTATTTTTGTGATTTCACTTTATACGTTTGATTAGACACAGATAAATTAGATACATTTAACATTATGTCATATTTTATTGGATCATCAAACCAAAGACAGGCGAAAGATACCAAAAGGGACATTTAAACTCATAAATGAACGAATTTTATTTTGTGTTCAATCAATGTTAGTTTAAACATATTTATTGATAGTGGATTGTGAAGCAAGTTATAACAATCAATATTAATCCCTTTCCACTTTGCTGTCGTGCGTGTTCATTAATCTATTTATTCCTTTCAGTTAAAATTTTACTTAATGTAGACTTAACAGGTAGCAACATTCATTTGACGTCAAATTTTACTATCAGTACTAAATTTACAGAAGATGCGACAAATAATCAGAAAGGAGAAAACATAAATAAACATACATGTCACTGGGGTTTTTCCATGGCAGATATGGACTGATACCACCAACATCATGGCCAATGCTGCAGCTGACATTTTCAATGATTCGCTCTCTATGAGTAAAAAATAAAAACTGTATTCCAAAAGTTTTCAAAATTCCTTTAACTACATTACACATTATCTGTAGTGTGTATGTACTCTATTTCATATGCATAAACCGAGATTTTTTTCAATTTAAACAAAATATCTAATCTATAAAAGATTTTAGGACATTTTTACAGTTTTTACTCCTGTAAATTCAGATATTATTGCGATGTTTCTATTACTGCGAATAATGTTACTTGGTGATTATGGTAATAAAAGGAAATCACAATCCGAAATCTGACATAAATAGTTTTATGCATCTTTTCCTGGTATCGCAAAAACTATTATTACATTTTTATCTGTCATGTCGAAATTGCAAAAATAAGTACAGGCAATAATTTCTGAATTTGCAGTATTTAGATATTTCAACCCAGGTTATTAACAATCTTAATAAAATTGAGAATGGAAATGGGGAATGTGTCAAAGAGACAACAACCCGACCATAGAGCAGACAACAGCCGAAGGCCACCAATGGGTCTTCAATGCAGCGAGAAACTCCCGCAACCGGAGGCGTCCTTCAGCTGGCCCCTAAACAAATATGTAACACTACATGTACATGCTGCTTTCTATCTGTGAATAGTATTACATAAAAAGTACTCTTAATGTGACTGAAAATCGCTTGATTTAATGAAATGTCTTTAAAAGATAGAAATATTTGTCATCACGGCGAATAAAAATATCAGTATTCGTAACTAAAACGCAGTTGATGGGTCAAGTACTGATTGATGATTGATTAGTGTTAAAAGCCATTTTCAGCACTATTGTGCTATTTTGTGGCGGTCAGTTTTTATTGGTGGTGGAAACCAGAGTGATAAAAGAGAACCACCGACCTGCGGTTGGAAAACTGACAATCCTAATCAATCAAGATTGGAGTCGACCGCACCTGCCACGTACGGGATTCAAACTCAAAACCTCAGTGATGATAGGCTAGTGGTACAAGAGTTCGACTACTTAGACCACATGGCCAGCTAGGTACCTTGAAAAGTACTATTAGTTTATGTGTCCGACTACTTCAATACTAGATGATTGACTTACATTATGTTTGTAATACATGTACCTGTTTTAAAATTAACTATTATTTTATTATTTGAATAACTGATAAGCTGTATGTGAGTATCATTTAACCTCTTTTATTATTCATCTCTACTAAATATGTTTTAGTGAACAAAGCTCATTTAAGTATGCAGCAATTGGCTCCTTTTGTAATCAGTGTCTACTTTGAAGTTGTTTCAATGAACTTATACTTCATCTGGATATAAAATATTACTACAAATCGGAAAAGAACAAAACCCAGCTGTGTTTGTGAAATTGATAGAAGACTTGTAGGAACATTCTAGTTTTAGAATTTTTCATTTCTACTTTGACTGTCTTATTGCCAACTGGACATTCTTAGATCGAACTTGGAAGTGATGAATAACAATTTGGCAGTGAGAAATATAAAGTTGGAACTCAGAAATATCAAATGTGAACTCAGAAATGTTAACCTAAAAACTGAGAAATGTTAACTTAGAGTCAATAAATGCATTAGACATTTTAAATGAGATATTTTAACAATAAAATGTCATTACCGATAATTCGTAGTTATGTGTATTTGTGTTATGTGTATAAAACTTCTGGATTTTGTGACAGAAGTATGGGTATGTTCATATCAACAACAACATTTATAATCCCACCTTATGTTCATGTATAAAAATAAGAAGCTGTGGTATGATTGCCAATGAGACGACTCTCCAAATAAGATCAAATGACACAGAAATTAACGACTTTAGGCCTTCAACAATGAGTAAAACCCATACCGCATAGTCAGCTATAAAAGGCCCCGAAATTAAAAATGTAAAACAATTCAAACGAGAAAACTAACATCCTGATTTATGTACAAAATAATGAACGAAAAAGTATGATTTGAAGACTAGAAGACCAATATTTAGACGACTAATAGTTTATTCAGATATTTATGTCATGTCAAATAAGTGTTTTGGTATAAATCAATTTGATTCAGGTAACTATTCTGAAAATTTCACACAAGATAACGCAGCCTCGAAATCAACCGGCTGGTATATTTTATCTTTACCTGTATGACTGTGTACATATCATCAATATATACTAATCAGTTTCTTATAACTACGATAAATAAGAAAGTTCTGACAATAATATAACTAATAAGAAATCATTACAGCCACCTTACCTTAAATTATATTTAAAATCGAATTTTCTACTTTTGCCTGTACCTTTGGTATACATGTAACGTACAAAACCACTACGTAAAAATGTAAATACAAGATATCAAATTATCAACGATATCGTATAGTACACGTATAGTTTGTTTATTGAAAGTTAAAAATAACTATGATACAGATAACAGTCACTATTATAAAGTGTTATTCAGTTAATACGCATGGCGATGATGAAGAGAATTGTTCGTCTATCTATTAGAGGTTGCGAAAGTGTCCGAGGATAAATAGAATAATCAAGTTAACAAATATATACAATATATTCATATAACATGTTTCTTGTTAATTTTCATGCTACTGTTATACAATGTTTGAAAAAACCATGACAGTTGACAACTTATTTTCGATGCTTTTAAACAATTCTTTTTAGATTATTGTTTCACTGATTTAATATCCATTGTAACAAATCTGCTTTTTTATGACTCGTGTCTCTTCAAACATTTCTACCTCGGTCATGTTATTTGTATAGTAAAATCACGGAACCTGCATTTTTCTACTTAATTTTTTTATTCATAATAAAAAAGGACATGCTTTGTTCAATTTCTTAATGTTATATTATTTCCACTTATGGGGAAAAATAGACGAACTACATATAATAGTAACTTACGCCTGGCAGATTGAAACTACTGTTTGTCATACATTGAACAATCAGTGTATGCGTGACAAGGGTTAAGCAAGGGGAATTTTCATAACTATAGATTGAGATTACCCCAGTGAATATTGATGAATTATAGTATACATGTAATATAGGGAATAATGTTAAACGCTATATTTATATATAATAATGAAATTTGCAAAACATTTTTAACCATGTTTATCCTTAAATCTAGTTCTATAAGGTCAATTTGTTCCGTTACATTTTCTTTACATGTAAACAATATATTCCGCTGCATTTTATCAAATATTATACTATATGAGGATATGAAAACATTTTTTAGGTCCCGTAAGTTCAAAAACCACAAAAATATTCTACAATAAATCTATATAACAACAACCTTCAGATCTTGACAGGACCTTGATATGTTAGACATCAGTATTCATAAAATTTTATTGATTTGCATTACTAATGTACCTTAATTTCAACTTCTTGCAGTCACTGCAAAACTTCCTAAAAATGCCACTTTTCCTATAGGTTTACACACATGGACGACTTTATATTATAACTTATGACAAAAGTGATGATTTAAACTTTCCAATTGCAAAATTCCCGTTTCTCAGCAGTAATATACATTCTGTCTCGTCAATACGAATCTCATTAAAACGTTATCATCTTGTATATTCACTCTGTATATACTTTATCAACAAAGATGCGCTCCTTACACAAAAACTGCTCTAACCGTGTTTCGAGCAAGAACGACAGCAGTTGACACTCAATTAGTTTTACCGTCACCATCACGAATCTGTTGACTGATATGATGTATCTGTTTTTCAACTCATTGTTTACTGTCTAAGATCTTCCGATACCAGACAAATGATCAGTTCATTAATTTGGCCTATAGTTTCCTTGTTCCGATTGACTCAGTGTCAATACGAATGGCAGCTTATGCGTGCATGCCAGGAGACGCTCATCTTGTCAACACATCTGTGTCTCCTTAATCGAATTATGAGATTTGAATATTGGTTGACTACTGTCGCCTATATTTGAACATATTATAATAACATAACATTTACAATATGATGTCTTATTAAAATATGTTAATATTTTCATGAAACATTCTTGATAATGTTTTTTTCTATTTTACCAAAGACTTTGCATAGAATAGCAATGTTATGTTGAATATGTGAATTGCTATGTGTTTATGAAAGCATTAGCAATTAAAACGTTTGAGCTGAAGTGCGTATATTAAAGAATTCTATTTACTATTTTTAATAAAACAAACAAAACATTGAATAAATTTATCGCCATCGTAAATTTGTTCATCGTTACAGTGTCTCGAATCACATTTCAAGGATAATAAAGGTCACCTCATGCCAACCTGACAATATAAATAATGGTGTCATACTCATGACATTTATCTTGATAATTCTGGATTATTTGATAAACATTTGGCAATCATACCACATCTTCTAATTTTTATATGATAAGGCGCATCTGCTTGTTTTCTACACAGCACACAAACTGGTATTTTGGAAACTTTACATCCAGGACATAATGTAAAATTGAGAATATAAATGGAGAATGTGTCAAAGAGACAACAACCCGACAAAAGAGCAGAAAACAGCTGAAGGCAACTAATGGGTGTTCAACACAGCGAGTGAATAAACTAAAATTAAAAAAAAAACAAAAACGAACAAGACTAATAAAGGCCAGAGGCTCCTGACTTGGGAAAGGCGCATAAATGCGACGGGGTTAAATATGTTTGGTGAGATCTCAACCCTCCTCCTATACCTCTAGCCAACGAAGAATAAACAAACAATATGTATAGTAAACTCATTCTAAAAGAATTCCGAGTCCGATGTCAGAATATGTAACAAAAGAAACTAAGCAAAATGTCAATGATACATAAATTAACAAATGACTACTAGCAGTTACTGACATGCCAGCTCAACTAAACTGATTGAAAGATTATGTCTCCATCATATGAAAATCAAGCACAATTTAGTTTAGTGTCATATCATCGTAAAATATATGAGAAAAACATAACCTGTATCATGACTACAACTGGCTTTAGAATAAATGTGTTTATTTCCGATGCAAAGACCTGTACATTTATATGCGTAACCGTTGTTGTGTAACATTTTATTTTGACAGAATGTTATTATTTATGGCACAATTTTCAACAAGAGTAAAAACTTAAAACAGTGTCAATTACACTGCATATGTTACACATAGTGAAAAACAAGGTCTCTTCAGTAAATTTTGAGTCCCTTAATATTTGTCAGGGATTTCTTGTATTGGATAGTGTAAATATACACCTTAATCATAAACGAATTTGAATAAAATATCACTGTTATATTCAACATTTTCCGTTCTTGTCATTGTATAGACTTGATGGACTGATTTACTGATGATAACTAGTTTAGAAAAGCACATAGAATCCACAAAATTTGGATGTGTTAGGACTTTTTACCTCTGTTTGTGGACTATTAGTCCCCGAGAGTATCATCAGCTCAGGAGTCAATACTTCGGTCCGAACATGATTTATAACAAACCTTGCTATACTTTACTTTTGGAAAAAAACCCATCATTTTATTATACAAGCTGAAAAACAAATGAAAAATAAACGATGTTTATTTAACCAGAGAAACATCATAAAGATTATGTTATCTGACAGGCTGATTTACTTTTAAAGATTTCTAGAGACAGATGATTGATTATCTTCTCATTAATAAACTGTTGTTGTTGCCAAAATTAATCTCAACCTGTACTGTAGAAAAGTGCATATAACATACGCGTCTTTTCGTAAAAGCAATTTGTTAGATATGTGTCTCGGGAAAACGTTTTGCGAAGGAAAGCTCCTCGATAAATGATATTAGATATATTTTGAATTTTATTTAGTATAGTCTGACGATTCTGTGTATATACTATATCGAATAAAGTAATTGTGCTGTAATTGTACTGTATCATCCATGATGCTGTCATTAATATTTTGCATTGGACTTGGATATGGATCAGTCATATCTGCAAATCCGGAAACGGCAATTGAGATGCCACTTATTAGTAACGACGATGTTCCGCTGGTTGCTAAGTTGGATACCAAAAACCTAAATAAGGCCATAAAGACATATATTAATAAAACAATGCATAAGGCTGTGATGGAAAAATTTTCCGAATTGAAATTGGATATATTGTCTAAAATTAAGACAGGTAATTATGAATATATTTAGTATCTTAGTATGATATATAGTCAAGAAGGGTTTAGTAGAACTAGTGTTCTTTCAAAGAATTTAATTATCAATGTTATCAATATTCTATCAACTGTATGTTATTCAAATTGATTGAATAATTCGTTATTTGACGTCATTATTGAAAACACACACTTTGAATTATCCTTATATAGCGTAATATCATAATCTGTCTGACTGTTTAATGTAGATAATCTTTATTGTCATTCTAAATAATCTTGCTGGATCTGAACATTCACTTGAGTAATCGAAGTTCCGAAACTTTAGACAGTTCTAGATTTGGAATGTGAAAATGAAAATAAAAAAAATATACGCATTAATAATTGTATAATATTTGGCACATATACATAATATTAGATTTGTATTTAGCACTATAAATTGCTCAGGAATACCGATCTAATACAACATTGCAAAACGTTCACCTGTTTTTGTAAAAATAAATCACATCCTAACCAACATAAATAACTATTTATATATGAAAACATAATCTATCTTTACTTAAAGTGAAAGTTTTGTTTTGATTAATTATAGCATTCTTATTAAATCTATTAAATTTATACTACCGTTGCACTGTTTAGCTATCTTAAGGAATGCAAAGGATATATAAGAAGAAAAGGAATACCATAATAGTGCTTAAACCGCAAGTATGTACATAAAGCTGTCATATTGTGAATTTTACTAAATGTTTGAAATTCGTTTGCCAAACGGGTAGCCTAAATCAAGGGCCTACGTAAACCTCCGTCATATGTTGTAATATAGCCTAGATGCTGGATATATCAAATGCATACTTAAACCACTCGGATACTGAGGCCCAAACACTTAGCAAAAAATATAACACAAATGCCGAACTTTAAGGAAAATTAAAAAAGTGATTGTCCATAATAATTGACAAAATTAAACGCTATTAATCAACAGAACAAGTGAGAAAGTAACTGCCATATTCTTGACTTGATAAAGGTATTTTTCGAAGAAAATGGTGAGTTAAACCTGTTTGTATAGCTAGCTAAACCTCCAATTTGTATGACAGTTGTTTATAGTTTCGTTAGATTGAAAAAAAAAAAAAAAAAACGGGTGAGCATCTAGCACTGATACTTATACTTGAAATGGAAATTTATCGGTTTTAATCCACCATTTTCTACATTAGAAAATGCCTGTTCCAAGTCAGGAATATGACAGTTGTTATCCATTAGTTTGGTGTGTTTGAGCTTTTGATTTTGCCATTTGATTAGGGACTTTCCGTTTTGAATTTTCCTCGGAGTTCGGTATTTTTGTGATTTTACTTTTTATTTTTTTATAACATTTAAACAGATTATACCATTTCATTATACAGAAAAATATCCTAGAGATTGCGAAGATGTCAGAGAGTCAAAAAGTGGTATATACCAGATATATCCTTCAGACATCCGTGGATTTGAAACATACTGTGACATGAAGACCGCAGGTGGGGGTTGGTTGGTAAGGTTGATTTCAATTACATTTACAGATGATTTGCAAATTTAACAGTTATGGAATATCCGTTTCACTGATGACAGCGGATATGTTCAAATTGTCGTAACTACAATCCCGTCCCCTTTTCCCGGAATGTGACCTACCGCATTAGACTTATTTCGGAATTTGCACTAACATGAAAAACACATGTGGAGCAGAATCTGATTACCCTTCCGGAGCACCTGAGATCACCCTCAGTTTTTGGTGGGGTTCATGTTTCGCAGATTTTAGTTTTCAATGTTGTGTTTTGTGTACTGTTGTTTGTCTGTTTGTCTGTTTTTTTTTAGTCATGGCGTTGTCAGTTTATTTTTGATGTATGAGTTTGAATGTCCCTTTGGTATCTTTTGTCTCTCTTCAACAAAAAAAGTTTGTTCATTCTTTCGCTAATTTACTATATCATCACTGTTTTTACAAAAAGGTATAGTTATTAATATACAAGATTGCAGTTTAATGTAAGCAAGTTATGTTGATAACGTGTCATATATATTTATAACACAAAATGATAAGAATATGTCATTATATGTGATCATTGAAAAGTTTCATTCTAAAATCATAACATAGCTACAAATACTTATGCCAAATGAAGACTAATGATGAATTCTGATCTCAGCTATACTATATTTTACATACGAACAACATATTTAATGCTTATTCACCTGAAGTTTAAAAGTTGCCTCATTGTATTTTCGACGGAATTAAGTTTTACGCGTTCATGGTAAAAGTATAGTCAAGATAGTTAATGCAAAAAAATGAGATAACAAACATACCGAACTATAAAATGTAATCGAACGACTTGAAAACGACCGCCGAATTCCTGACTTGGTACAGGCATTTTTCCTGGTGAAAATGGTAGGTAAAATCTGGGTTTATAACTAGCAAACGCATTAACTTCTGTATTTATGATTTTACTGTTGGTCTTTCTAGTTGATCGACCTTTGTTATCCTTCTGATAATTAGATCTGTCCTCCTTTCCAATGAAAAGACCTTATGTAATGCTTCTGATAATTATGTATTTCAATCTTTCCAGTGTTTTCTTCTACTTTTTTTTAATATTCAGACACTTGACAATCCTTTTGTGCGTTATTTCCGCTAGATATCTGTACCAAACTATTTGGTACATGATAGCGTACAGATACTATGATTTTGACATGATCAATTGGTCTCTTAAGAAACACGTGACTAAAGTAAACCAATTACTGTTTATTGTGAATTACAGGTTTTCCAGAAAAGGCAGGATGGAAGTGTTGACTTCTTTAGGAACTGGACGGATTACAAAAACGGGTTTGGTGACCTGACAGGAGAATTCTGGTTAGGTACGGCAGTTTATTTTCATGCTTTATATCAAATAATAAAATAGACTGCACTGTTTCCTTATTAAAATTATAAAAATGTCGTTTTGATTTTTTTACTAAAACTACTTTTTCACACAATCCAACTTGGCGGATGAAAATCTATGCTATTCCAAATACCATACATTTAGACGAAACAAAACATTTGAAATAAGATATATGACAAATTTACCAATCTCAATTGTTTGTAAAGTTTGCTTCCAAAATGTTGTAAACTTGAAAATTGTTGCATAATCGCTCTGGGAAATAAAAACGTTTACAGTGTTTTTTATGTATGTGAAGATCAGGTTAGTTTCTATCGTTATCCAGAAATATCCAAATTTTTATTTTACATCCATTTACAAAAATATTCAAGTTCACCTACGACATTTTGAAGCAAACATTCCAACTAATTTTGTTTTGTGAGTTTTTTTTGTTTGTTAAAAACTTACTTATTTACTATATTTTGGAGACCCAGCAACGCCATGACACTTCTGACGATATAAAACTTTACAAATTTATCATTTTATTTACCTTATTTAGGTAATTCTAAAATCCATGAAATTACCACAAAAGATGAATATGAACTGTACATACTAATGGAGGATCTTGAAGGAGAACAGAGATACGCGAGATACAAGACGTTTTATATAGGAGACATACAGTCAAAATTCACTTTACAAATCGGAGGCTACAGCGGAAACGCAGGTCTGTTACTTTTTTTGTTGTCTTGTAATGATTAAGGAACCAGTCAATTATAACCTAATCTTGGACTGGGAAGAAATTAAGGAGTGCCTTGAAAAAATTTGGGCATCACAAGGGGTTTCAATTTTTTCAATACTTCAGAGGAGAGGCATTTAAAAATACAAACATTCTGCAGGCCTATTTCGAACATGCGTGCAAGACGATAACCAATTCAGCAGGTCTATTTTGAAGACGATAACCAATTCAATGAATACACTTAATGATAATCTGAGTCGTCTACACACGTACCTGTAGCATTCAGTTCAGATGTTATATCTATATATCTTGAAGGGCGGTAGGACCTTTTTCGGGACGTCAGGATAAGGCTTTTATTTTTTGCGGGAATTCGTGAGTGGGCCTTTATTTTCGCAGGAATTCGGGATAAACCCTTATCGGGACTCGGGAATTAATGATTATTTTTTCGGGTTCCTAGAAAGAATGCTTCATTTTTTCGAGAATTCGGCATGACACCCTTCCTATAGCCTCTCTATCGTGTGTCATTAATGTGCTCTTTTAGCCTAATTTCAATATTTATTTATAAAGCTCCTGGCATGTTTGGGTATATAAACATATCCTTGGCTTTCAAAATTTAGGTTTGACCGTTCTGGTAAATATGAATAAATAAAAGCACTGATGACGTAGGAAATTATATATTAACTGATGATACTAATAACTGTTTCCTAAAACGATTGATCGCAAATACCATGATCGAACATCTATTACAACGATTAATGATTGTCACTATGAGTTAAACTGACATTTTTGACATCTGTTTTGATGTGAATTATTTTTCCTCATAGCCTACAGAGGAAAATTCAGGCAGATCTACACCATACGCGTAGCTCCTTATCTCCCAAAATCTATTATTTTGGGCATAGAATACATCTTCCCCCTTGCTCTGCTCAGCCCAATTGTTATGGTTACAACTCAACTAATGTAATACCCTCAAAAGAGGGACGAAAGATACCAGATGGACAGTCAAACTCATAGATCGAAAATAAACTGCCAACGTCATGGCCAAAAACAAAAAGACAAACAGACAAATAATAGTACAGATGACACAACATAGAAAACTAAAGACTAAGCAACACGAACCCAACCAAAAACTGGGGGTGATCTCAGGTGCTCCGGAAGGGTAAGCAGATCCTGTTCCACATGTGGCACCCGTCGTGTTGCTTATGTTAAAAATCAGGTAAATAGTCTAATTCGGTAGGTCACATTCGTGAAAAGGGAAGGGTATTGTAGTTACGACATAAGGAACATATCCGATATCATCTGTGAAACGGTTATTCCATATCGGTCAACCAACTCGTGATGGCGTTCGTAAAATTTACGAAGGGATGATTTCAACTTCACCATTTGGAACTCTTGGTTTAATAGCTTTCTTGTGAGCAGCAATCCTCTATCAAGGAAATCATGATAGGAAATACAAGCCCGGGAATATCGTATTAATTGGTGGTCGGTTAAAGTTTAGATTTAGACAGTATCCACGAGATGATCAATTATGTGTTAAAAAATGCACTTCTGAAAGTAAATGATCGGGAGACTATCAATTATTCATCAAAACGTAAAGATGTATAAAACATCTAAAAATGGTAACAACTACTAAAACATTGTAATATCTGACAAGTTTTAAAAGATTTCGTATATTTTAATAAATAATGAATCTCAGAATAAAAAGAGTATGAAGATATTATCAATTACATAATAACATGACCAATAATAATATCAAAATCTATAAGTAAATAACCCGGATATTACTTAAAGTCAAGTTACAATAAATGGCACCGTGTATTTCATTCAGGGAAATGGTACGACGGGTAGTAATATACATTCATGGCCAGCACTGTGGCGACCAAGAATATTTCGTTGGTCAGTGATGAATGTATTTGAGAGGATAACAATTTCAGGATTAATAACGCCCAAAAAATGTAAAATTGTAAAAATATATTTCACAGCCATAATACGAGAAAAAAGTAGATTGCTTGCATTTAATTATTCTTACAATAGCGGAAAAATACATTGGTCTTGCAACCGGAAATATTCTGAACGATTCATGTATAGATGTATGCACTTTATTCAATTGTTTACTATATTGTTCAAATTATAAATGGTTGCTCTCATTTATTGAAACTTAATATAGTCATCATCCTATAACGAGACTTTCCGAAAATAAATATTACGACGTGAATATTTGTGGTATTGTTTAAGTTGCAAGTAGTGTCAGTTGTGTCAAGATTTGAAATAAACCAGGCGACATAAAATGGTCTCTGAAAATATTTTTTCAGACAATATCCTCATTTCAAAATAATTGCCGTAGTACCTGGTTTATTGCATTTACAAATTATTTTATTGATCGACCTATATATTCATTGTATGAGGTCAAATTTAATTAATCTGTTCATTCCTGCAGACCACAGCAATTGATTTGTATGAGAAAAAAAAGGTTTTCCATCGAAATAATTCCTTCCCGATTTATCAAACCATCCTGAGGTATAAAAAGTACTCAATTATCAGGCCAGTACAAGAATATTATATTAAAAAAAATATTAGCAATTTTTATTGTTTTCGACATAACGATTACACGTATTAGTAACTATAGACTCAAAGAGCTCTCAATCTGTCTGAAATTGTCCATCCTGCGGTACAAAAAGAACTGGATTTTAATGCTGTTATTCAATATTCTAACAGAAGGGAAAATATAAGCACCTTATATTGATGTTAACACCAAATTGTGCAATTTTTAACTTTATTCCTTCCCTTTCATGTAAAAAAGTCCAATCTGAGAAATAAAAGTACTCAATTATCAGGCCAGCACTCGAATAAATAGAGACAGAAAAAAAAATTGACACTTTTAATTGTTGTCGACAAAAAATTTAGTAACGGTAGATTTATAAAGCTCTGCATTTGTGTTAAACTTTCCACCCTAAGGTACAAAAAAAAATGAATGCTGTTATATAACATGTATAATATTAAAAGATAGGGACAATTTTGGCACCTTTTATCAAAGCCGGCAACAAATTTTGCTATTTTAAACTTAAAATCCTTCATCTCCATGTCAAACACTAAGATATAAAAGTACTAAATTTTCAGGCCAGTAAATGAATGTTACCAAAAAGACGAAATAGTGGCACTTTTTATGGTTGTCGACACACGTTTTAGTAACCGTAGACTTTTAGAGCTTTCAATTTGTGTAAAACTATCTATCCTGAAGTGAAAAATAAAGAAATCAAATAAATGCTGTAACAGAACATTCCACAAAAAAGTAAACAAATTGGCACCTTATATTAAAGCCGACAACTAATTTTTCAATTCAAACTTAAATGCCTTTCGTCGCATGTCAAAATATCCATCCTGGGGTATAACAGTACATGAGTATTATAAAAAAGAAGAAATATTGCAACTTTTTATTGTTGTCGACACAAGTTTCAGTAACCGTAGACTTTTAGAGCTTTCAATTTGTGTAAAACTATCCATCCTGAGGTACAAACGAATATTAGTTATATTTCATAGAGCATCAGGACTACGTGGTCAACACTCTTTACGTCAGTTTTAAACGGGTCAGGCTTAAAAATATCATAAATCTGAAAATTGTTTTTGCGGATAATGTAATACTTAAAAAAACCATGCCATCTCACGAAAAGAAAAGAAACTAAGTATTTGGTGAACGAATTCGGGGGCCAAAAAGTGACCTAATCATGCTTTATTCTTTCTGACAATAATGTTTTGTTGCGTGATATAACACATAATATACGACCATTACATAAGATTCTTTGAATTTGCACAGAGCAATAATTGAAAAAAAAAAAAAAACAGTGTATGTTTGACATAGTTGTAAAAATCATTTCAAAGTCTAATGTACCTTGCATGTTTGACATAGTTGTAAAATCATTTCAAAGTCTTGCAGGGATTTAAAAAGATTGTAGCCATTTGTAACATATCTATTTGAAATAATTTTCACATATATAACATGAAATACAAAATGTTACCACGACCTTAGACGTTAAAATTAGAAACAAGCTGATTTTGCCGTATCTAAATTTTTACACTTTAACGGAAGGTAATATCGATTACTAAAACTCCAGTTGTGTTAATGTATTATGCATTAAAAGATTATATACCACTTTTCTGAAACTACAATTAATGTTCATCAACTGAAAACTGATCAGTATTTGATGATAAACCAATTAAGCTTGATCGAATTCCTCCGTACACAGCTTAAATTGACTGCCGGCCTATACAAATATTTACATGAATATGAATAAATTTTTTCCAAAATATACAATTGTAATTTTGTACCAATAACTAGAATTTTTTGTGACATTATAGGAAATTCGTTGGACACGACCACGCACAATAGTCAGCCTTTTTCAACAATAGATAGAGACAGTTCGACCAATTGTGTACAGCAGTATAAAGGTGGATGGTGGTATAAAAACTGTCATGAATCTAATCTGAATGGGTTGTACCTAAATGGTTCGCACAAGTCATTTGCAGATGGTATTGAATGGAAACACTGGAAAGGTTACAATTATTCCCTTAAGAAGACACAAATGATGATTCGACGCCGTCGTTAACATGATAGTATATAACATAACTGATGACACTGATTGCCATTAGACTTAAAAACAAATGCTGCTTATTGTCACTTTTGATCTCGTTTACAACATGTATAACATAATATCAGAATCATTATAATTTATGTTAATCTTTCTTAATCGTATTTCGCAATAACATTTTACTTTTTCTAGACTTAGAATACACTGTACATTGTACATTTTGAGACAATTGCAGGATTTTGAAGACATCTTTCAATTCAGCCAAAGTGAATATACGTATCTAACATATAATACTACCGTTGGTTTTCTCGTTTAAATTGTTTTTAATTTAATCTTGTCTGGGGCTTTTACAACCTCTGCAGAATTGATTTTTTTTTGCTAATTTGTGGAGGTCGTCGGAGATCTCATGTGGCAAACATCTACGTCATTTGGACTCCAATGGCAATCATATTAATCTCCCTTTCTTATATACAGTCCGGGAGTAACAAATTATATTCTTAATATTTAATTGACGTTTATCACCTGGGTTGAAAATATTTACAAATATTCACCATTTATCCAGGCAGAGACACATCTTTTGCGTCGCAATAAGTATTATTGTTGGCAAAAACACATGTTCTTCCCCCTTGCTCTGCTTAGGCTAGTTATTATGGTGGAAATTCAATCTATTTCAAATCCCGAACTTCAACATGTTTTGTTGATTGCCGAGATGCTTAGTCAAAAGAATGTCATTGTTAAATTTTTTTTTCACAAATCGTGACACGTAAAAAGAGTGATTTGCTTATATTCAAGTATTCTAACTATCGGGAAAAAAAAACGTTGGTCCTTCAACCGGTTGAGGAGAAATGTGTTCAAATTTTGATATATAGCCTTAATTCAATAGCTAAAAAGTTATTATAGCTCCCTGATTTGACAGTTTAACATCAAGTAGCGCTGAATGAAATTTGTATGCGTATAATTATTGTAAAATATTTTATTTTTTAATATCTAGTATTTTTTATCTCAAAGTTTCAGTAGATTTAGATAATTTCACACATTAACGCTGCAAGTAACATAATTTCAAGAGAATTTCCCCCCACCTCATTATAAAAATTTAATTATTAACAATACCAATTTAGATTGAAACTGAATGTTATGCTAGTACTTGAACTGGTCATACATCGTAAATTAAAAGAAAACTGTAAAACGACAGCAAAGACGTTGGAAATATTCATTATCTGACAACAAAAAGATTCAAAATAAATAGCAAACAAATATAAGGAGGTCATGATCAAACAAATATAACAACAACAACAACAACAACAACAATACTTTATTTTAAGAGGGTTACACAGTTAACTATATAACTAATCTTCCCTGAGGCCCTCATCATAAAAATCAAACAAAATGCAAATATATACATTGCATGCATTAGTATAAAAAGACAATATGATAATAATGTTCAATACAACTTGATAAAATGTTATGAAAAAATAAACGTGATGACATAATCAGTTTTCAATATTTTTTTTACAGCTAGGTTGATTTCAATAAATGATCTGTTATTTTGTATTTGAAAGAATTAACATTTGTAATATTTTTTAACGGTATTGGCAAATTATTCCACAAGAATGGTCCAGCATACATAAAAGATTTTTTGAACAATTCTGTTTTTGGTTTAGGGAGTATGAGGTTTCCTTGAATAGCATTTCTCAAGGGGTATGGATTTCTGTCTGAAACATAATGAAACTTGTTAATAAGATATGATGGTGCGTCATTTTTTAAGCACTTAAATGTCATCACAAACTTGTGATATTTTATTCTCTGTTCAACTGTCATCCAGTTTAAGTGTTTGAATAAGGGCTCGGAAGGAGCGAAAGGGTCTGTTTCTAGTATTGATCTAGCAGCTCTCTTTTGTATTTTTAATATCCTATTTAAACCCCCAATGCTACAACTACTCCACACTATACAACAATTAGTGGCAAGATATAACCATTATAGAATAATTTTCTGCAGTCTAGATTTAGAAATTTCCTAATCTTTAATAGTAGATATAGCCTAGATAAAATTTTTGAGCAGATCACATCAATTTGGTTTGTCCATGTGAGGGAAGGGTCAATTTTAATGCCTAAGAGACTTTCGCATGTGGAAGATTGTATCACTTGATTGTTAATAGTTAAACAACTCTCATTGTAATGTGGCATTGCTTTTTGCTTTGTTCCAATAATCATATACTTTGTTTTATTTTCATTGATGAACATATTGTTATCATTACACCATTCCTCAACACCATGTGAATCTTCTTGTACCTTTGACTGCAGAGTTTGATAACTATTACCAAAAAGATGTAAAGTTGAATCATCAGCATATAAATCAGTGCAATAATTTTTCATGTAGATAGGAAGGTCGTTTATGTATGATATAAACAGAAGGGGCCCTAAGATGGAGCCTTGGGGAACACCATACTTGATATAAAGTTTTTCTGAATGAGCATTACCAATTTGTACTTGTTGAGTTCTTTCATTCATTCAAATAAAGAGGTTATGAGCAAACAAATATAAGGAAGTCACGAGCAAACAAATATAAGGAGGTCACGAGCAAACAAATATAAGGAGGTCATGAGCAAACAAAAAGAAGGAGGTCACGAGCAAACACATATAAGGAGGTCACGAGCAAACAAATATAAGGAGGTCATGAGCAAACAAATATAAGGAGGTCATGAGCAAACGAAAAGAAGGAGATCACAAGCAAACAAAAAGAAGGAGGTCACGAACAAACAAATATAAGGAGGTCACGAGCAAACAAATATAAGGAGTTCACGAGCAAACAAATATAAGGAGGTCACGAGCAAACAAATATAAGGAGGTCACGAGCAAACAAATATAAGGAGGTCATGAGCAAACAAATATAAGGTGGTCACGAGCAAACAAATATAAGGAGATCACGAGCAAACAAATATCAGGAGGTCACGAGCAAACAAATATAAGGAGGTCATGAGCAAAAAAATATAAAGAAGTCATAAGCAAACAAATATAAGGAGGTCATGAGCAAACAAATATCAGGAGGTCATGAGCAAACAAATATAAGAAGGTCACGAGCAAACAAATATAAGGAGATCACGAGTAAACAAATATAAGGTGGTCACGAGCAAACAAACATAAGGAGGTCACGAGCAAACAAATATAAGGAGGTCATGAGCAAAAAAATATAAAGAAGTCATGAGCAAACAAATATAAGGAGGTCATGAGCAAACACATATCAGGAGGTCATGAGCAAACAAATATAAGGAGGTCACGAGCAAACAAATACAAGGAGATCACGAGTAAACAAATATAAGGAGGTCACGAGCAAACAAATATAAGGAGGTCATGAGCAAACAAATATAAGGAGGGCACGAGCAAACAAATATAAGGAGGTCATGAGCAAACAAATATAAGGAGATCGTGATCATTTGTGATATTTTTATTTCTTTTTAAAAGCGCAAGGTTATTCATATCAACATGGAAACATGAAGTTGGTGATCATCATTGTTTTACATCATTGAATTTTCTAAATATATATATATATATATATATATATATATATATATATATGCTCGATTAAAACGGAAATATAAAATGTGGAAATAAACAATGGGATTTCTGTTATATATTTCTCTTTATTTTTTTTTATACATATTCCGTCTATTTTATACATACCTATATCTCATCAATGAAATCGGTGCAAAATACTGTTTTTACACTTTCCACTGTATGTTTGCAGCATATTTTTGAGCGCACATATTGAACATAATTCTATGGACAGGTCATTGACCGTCCCCTGACATAAATATGATACAACGGTCCGTAGTAATGACAGTCATTTGTAAGTGTGAATTCTTCTCAGTTATGGTCAGAAAGACTATGTTATTTTCATGTCGGGGCTTTAATAGCTGACTATACGGTATGATTTTTTTCATTGCCGAAGGCCGTACGGTTGCTTATAATTATCTAAATCCACTTCATTTGAACTTTGGTGGATAGTTGTCTCATTGCAAATTATACCACATCTCCTTATTTATATATAATTAATGTAAACAACTGACAAATTTGTAACAATGATGGTTTTGTTGCCTTGTATGACACATGATATTTGACCGCCATAGACGAAATAAATACTGTAGCTAATCGTCAAGCAGCTCTTATAGATTGAAACTTTGTATGTCTCTTTCATGTGTTTGTACAGACCTATATTTTAAAATACAAACAGTATAAAAATGAGGAGATGTGATATGATTGCCAATGAAACAACAACCCACCAAAGTTCAATGAGGTGGATTTTACCAATTATAGGCAATCGTACGGCCTTCAACAATTAGAAAAACCCAAACTGTGTAGTGGGCTATAAAAGGCCCACACATGAACAGTATGAAATAATTCAATTGAGTACACTAACGGCCTAATCTAAAAGAAAAAAAAAAGTACGAAAAACAAATATAACAGACGTGAACTAATGACAACCACTGAACTACAGGCTTCTGACTTGGGACAGGCACATAAAGAATGTGGCGGAGTTAAACATTTATGTAAGCGCTCAAACCTCACCATAACCTGGGACATTGGTGTAACAGCGTAACATCAAATCAAACTATAAAAATCAGTTGAAAAAGGCTTAACTCATTAGATCGATATAAAGCAGGTAAACACAAAACAAAAACACAGACCGAACGTGGCAGGGTATTTATCCATCCCTCATCCCTAACTACAACAAAAATAAACACAGATCTGAGAGTACTTGCAGTTACTGATTGCTAGTTCAAAGCCAATAACAACTAATAAAAGAAATCATGTATCTGAGACAGAAAGGTCTGATAATAAAGAACCGCAATTCAGGGTTCTTTATAAGCATTTTAATCAACCGGACCATGATCCTTCTCTATCTATGGAAGTACGCATCATCGAGAAAATTATCCCCACACCAATAGCCCTATACTTAGTACTCATTTCCGAAAAGATAGAGAAAATTTCTGGATAAATGGAACTAGGCACTGCAATGTCATATGGTTACAATGATAACATCAAAGGAGTAGGAAATTTGTCAAGTCCAGCCTGCAATGATGTCCAAGATTAGGGGAGGGTTTAGCGCTCACAAACATGTTTACCCTCAAGTCCCAAGTCAGGACCCTGTAGTTCAGTGGTAGTCGTTGGTTCATGTCTGTCATATTTGTTTTTTTTTTTGTAAATTATTTTGTTATAAATTAAGCCGTGAGTTTTTTCAATTGAAATGTTTCATATGTTTTATGTAGAGGCTTTTTTATAGCCGATTATACGGTATGGGTTTTCCTCATTATTGAAGGCCGTACGGTTGCCTATAATTGCTTACATCAGAGACATATATACTATACATGTCTCTGCTTACTTCCACTTCATTCAAACTTTGGTGGATAGTTGTCTTATTGGCAGTCATACAACATCTCCTTATTTTTTACTATTTAATACTACCTTAAGACCACAGCGTAGTCATGGGCAAAACATCACCATCGGTCCAATGTAAATTCATTTAAAATAGACTTAGAAATAATCTTTAAGTTATCCTTCTGTATCCCCTTCTTATATCACACATATGTTTTATTTTAAGTACAAAAATCCGAACATTAATTAGCAGCAAAGGTTTTCATTCAATGAATTATTTTTTGTCAATTATATGTTCGTCATAAATATCAAACGTGCACGTTGAACTCAGATTAGTATATATGCATACATAAAATTAAAATCACAAAAATACTGAACTCCGAGGAAAATTCAAAACGGAAAGTCCCTTATCAAATGGCAAAATCAAAAGCTTATACACATTAAACGAATGGATAACAACTGTCATATTCCTGACTTAGTTCAGGCATTTTCTTATGTGAAGTGTCCGTAACATTATAATCTCCATAAACTCTTACTATGATTTGAAATAAGAAATCCAAAAAAAGAAAATCTTATTGAAAGCGCAGTTTAACATTTCTTGTTACGAAAAAAGTAAAATATAATCATCTTACATTAATCGCATACCTGGCAGCATAATTCATTTATCGCTAACTCAATTGTATTTGCAACTGGTCCGGGGTTATTCGATTCACTGCGGGCAGGATGAAATTGAATATGAATAACTTGGCCTGGTAAAAACTTAGAATATATAACTTTGCACAAGACAGGATAGAAATAAATAATATTCAACAGAAAATAGAAAAAAAAACCAGTTGTATACAATGGTGAAAAAAAAAATGAATAACAACAGATGAAAATAAAGAGTCAATCCTCAAAAAATCATCCTGGCCTTTCTCTTCCAGAAAATTAAATGGTCGTTCCTTAGATGAATTACAAAATAAAAATCAAGAGCAATGTGAAATTCGAATAGCAAATATTTTTGTGAATCGCGATAAATACCAAGAGGGCCATTAAAACTCATATGTCCAATAAAAACCAACAAAGCAATAAACAAAAAAAAAAGAAGTTAGACACCAGTCCACAGAAAATTTAATTCGAGCAGAAAACTAAAGATAAGGAGAACTGCATTACCAACAGCAAAGTAACTATGTTTTGTCTGGGCAGTCTTTGGTGCATACTGAACATTTAAAATGTGTTATTTCTGTTTTTGAGTAGAGGTGCTTAGTGAAATAGTAAACAAAATCAGTCACTGAATGGTCAATTAGAATCATAGTTGTAGAGTTTATGGAATCATTAGGTGATGTGATACTGGCATATAATTTGTGTCATTTTCAATATTATACTTTCTGGTTCATTCTGTTAAATTAACAATTTGAAACATTTTCAATTTTATTTGGAAATTCGACATTTTACACAGGATTTTAAACAAACAACGATCAAATAATCAATCACTTTATGAAAGCTTCTAAATTCACTTACCATTCTTCTTCTGGTCGGGTATGTATTGTATGCATGAAAAGCACAAACGAGAAGCAAAACTATTAGAACAGACCTCATCGCTTCAGTTTATTAACTAATTTGACAACTTAAAACTTTAGAGATTTCAATGCTAGTGTTTGACAACTAATTCGACAACTTAAATGTGCAAACAGATGTGACAAATATTATTTAACAAGTTATTCTTAAATGAGTCGTATCCCGTTGTACTACATTTGTAAATGCAATAATGTGCACTTTAAAAAAATTATGAACAAAAATGTGTAAACGTAAGGAGAAAAATTTCATTTTGTTAATCATAATTGATATAAGCGTAATGAAAATTATTGTAAAATGTATTTTGTCATATTAGGTAAACAGCGTGTAAAATTTATCTAAAAAAAAAGGTTTGATATATAGCCATGTGATACTCAAAATCCATTGAAAATAGACTTAAAAATAATCTTCAAGTTATCCTTCTATATCCCCATTATAACATCACACATATGATTTATTGCAAAGTACAAAGAGATGTTTTAAATTTAACCATATGAAATCGACGATTCTAGAACAAACTTAATATTGTTCTTTGTATACATAGTGATGGATCGACGACTTTCAAACATCTGGTCCAGAGGGCACACTATAAGATGCAAAATCTCAAATAATAGGTCACACGTCCCTATACTTTATCCACCACAAGTATCTATCGTTGAAAAATGAGTCACAGAAACGTGACAGTGACTGTTTCGTTGTGATTTTCCCTAGATAAACATGTCTCGTTTAACACCATTATGTAAAAAACTGAATAATATTTTTTTTTCCAGTTGTAACTCAAGAAATTATTTGTTGACAATAGATCTAATCTGTTGACCTCTTCATACCGCCTTTCATTTGTAGGTCATATAACTAGAATTATGTCGGATTTGTCTGACGTCCTTAGTTTTCCTTAGGCACCCGGATCTTTGTTTAAAAAAGAAAATAATATAACAACCAGGAGATGTGGTATGGTTGCCAATGAGACAACTATCCACTAGAACAAAGTAAATGTAAGGAATTATAGGCTACCGTATGACCTTCAACAAAGAGAAAACCTCATACTATATAGTCAGCTATAAAAGGCCCCGACATGAAAAATGTGAAACAATTTAAACGAGAAATTTTACGGCCTCGTTTATAACAAAACAATTTACAAAAACAAATGAGAAAGATATGAACCAACGACAACCATTGAACGACAGCCTTCTAATTTTGAACAAGCACATAGATAATGTCGCAGGGTTAAACAAGATTGTGAGAACTTAACCTTAACCTTAACCTAGGACAGTGATGTAACAGCACAACCAAAGAACAAACTGTAAAAATCAGTAGCAGTTTGCTTAATTCAAAGATCGGTTCGAGGTACAAGAACAACTAACTTGAAAACAGCAGACACAAAGCACCGACATAAGAGTAATTGCAGTTACTGAAGGCTAGTTCAAAGCTGATAAAATCTAATAAAAAAATCATGTTCTCCCAAATTAAATTATATTGCCCCTTTTTTGAAGATCTTTTCAGTGATTTTCCTTCAGTAATATTTTATTCGGCGAACACATGCTATTGGCTTTCTTAGCTTTTAAACTACGAAAGACGAACTAGTAATGCCACTTAGAATAAAAATATTTTTTGGCAGCCTCCAGATCTAGAAACAACTGTTAAAGGTCGTATCTATTTTTCCCCTGTTTTTCATTCACATTTGCTACATAAAATGAATTTCATTAACGCATAAATAAAGTACTTGGCCGGAAATCAGAAATGTATGGAAATAGTTCGTCAGAAAAAAGGCTATTGCAGCATTTTCAAAATTTCCTTCAATTATTCACATATCGAAACTCAAAAACAAACTGACTCAAAATTAATTTACATACTTTTATTTCTCCTTTTGGTGACAAAAAGAGAGGCGAAATATACCAAAGAGATATTAAAACTATATAAAAAGCCTGAAACAAACTGACAATGCTATGACAAAAACTAAAAACGAGAGAATGACAAACAACCGTACACAAAACACAACATATAAAAACTAAAGACTGAGCAACACGAATCCCACATAAGACCGGGAATTATATGAGGTGCTCCTTATGGTTAGGTAGTCCTGTTCTATTTGTGGCACCATTTGTGTAGCTTATGTTAGAACAAACCCGGTGATTACTCCAAATTGCTAGGTCACTTTCGAGGAAAAGAGGACGGGATTGTGATGACATATCAAATTTATCCGCTGTCAAACAGATATTCTATAACAGTCAACCTACTGGTAATGATTTCAACTTCATCATTTTGGAACTCTTGGTTCAATCGCTTCTTTATAAGCAGCAACTCTCTATCAAGGAAATCATGAAAGGAAATACAAACTCTGGAATATCATATCAACTGGGAGATATATACTCTATATGTAGTCGCTGTTGGAAAATTGCTTCACAGAAATGGAAAGTTGAAAATTCGGAAACTGAAATCCTCTCTTTTGTCTTAATGTATTGTTATCCACTCACTCTCATTGCCAACTTCTAGATGCATCTCAATATAGGAGGTACACTGTTTCTATTGTACCCTTTATTTCAAGTTCTATGGGATAGCCCAGTATTGTTAGCGGGACAAAATTGTATCCCTCAAAGCTTTGATAACTATACACATAGTTTTACTTTCATTATCTGTCTAAGTTTTCCTGACTTTTGACTTTTTTCTTATTTCATAGATCACCTCTCCGGTTAACTAATCGATAGGATGTTAACATTTGTGGAATCATCAAGTTTTAAAATGATGATATATTCCACAGTCAGTGTTTATAAAAACTGTACCTTAGAGTTACCCTTTTGCACTTTCCTTGCATGTGACGCTCTGAATTCGATTAACATTGGTATCAGATACCTGGCGTCACAAACTTTCATACATTGAAACGACTTGCGATGATAATGGACTTTTATATGTCCGCTCCACTTAAAACCAAAGAGTTTTCCTTATAAAATCAAAATGATTTGTTCCTGCTATGCGCTATGTCGATTTTAAAGTAGCCTGGCAATATTTAACACTTGGTATAAAAAAGCCTACCAATATCGAAATGTGTATGACACGAAAGAAATATTTGTAAATTATATCCATATAATATCGCTAAATAATCGATATACCTACACCTGCTACACTGATTTAAATTAATGTCTTGTGACTTTCTTGAAGTACAAAAATGTATCTTGCTGGTCCGGCTTTGACGAGATTTAACCAATGGATATTGCGTACAGTGTTCAATACTCCTGGTTCAACATTATCTAGATTTTACAATTGGTGTGTGTATCATCATCATCATCATCATCATCATCATCATCATCATCATCATCATCATCATCATCATCATCATCATCATCATCATCATCATCATCATCATCATCATCATCATCATCATCATCATCATCATCATCATCATCATCATCATCATCATCATCATCATCATCATCATCATCGGCATCCTCCTCCTCCTCCTCCTCCTCCTCCTCCTCCTCCTCCTCCTCCTCATCATCATCATCATCATCATCATCATCATCATCATCATCATCATCATCATCATCTATAGTTTATGTATTGATTCAACATTAATTAATAATTGTACTTATATCATTCTTGAAGTTATATCTCACTTTCTCAGCTGAGCGCCCTGAAATTAATTGAACAAACATGAAAGTTATTGATTCGATATATAAAAAAAGACCTAAATTAAATTTTAGGAAAAAGTATCAAAGTTGAAAAGGGACAGATCATAGCACAAAGACAAAAAGTAAAAACAACTGTTCAGAAAACTTCATTTTGAACATAATTAATCAAAACAGGGACGCCCAGCAATAGTAGACACTTGTCTGATATAATACTTTGTTCCACAACAGATTGGGCGTTTTTATTTGTCCAAGGCTAAGACGCTGTCAATCCATAAGTTATCGATACATGTAAGTATAATCTACATTCAGGACGATATGATTGTATAAATAAGTACATGAAGTAATATTAATTCGGCTATCTGAGTTTACCCAGGCTCATGTTGCAATCGATACCAATTCATTGTACATATATCTATTTATTATTATGACAGTATAAGATAATGTACAGAGAACTTCATCAATATATGACAAGTCAGATTCAAACATAATTGACTATTGACCGTTTCAGAATTGAATGACTATGGTCAATTTAATTGTTCGTTCTCAAAAATGAAAATAACGTCACGGTTGAATTTCCATTGTGTAGGACGCTTTTAACCAATTCCGACGTTTTGTCGTTTACTTTTGGGAATGATACTCGGGATGCTTAGATTCTGAAACGGTGAATCATTGATAGATAACAAATTGGCATTGTAGTTTATTGCAAAACATTTTTTTGTGTGACATAAACATACGATATTTCAAAGACCATGATTGATAGAAACTAGAACCCTTAACAACTTGTAATGAACAAAGATATGCAGTGAAGGATGTCATTTCAATCTTTTCTACTTATCATCCACAGTGTTCACGAGAAGTACAATTCCGTTGATTAAACGGAAATCCATCGATCATATACTTTCTCAATAACCTCAAATATTAAGATACAATAGCTTACTTGTGATATGGCTACTACTTGACAAGATGATCGAGCAGGGAAATCTTTTGGAAAGACTGAAAACTATACAATATTATGAAATACATACATAAGTAATGATCTTTGAAAATGTCACTTTGATAACTCAAAGTGTGACATCGAACATAATTTACATATAAAAAAGGGTCTGAATTGGGTTCACAGAATAGAGAATAATGGGATAAAAATAAAAAGAATAGAGAAAAAAGTACACAATATTATGAAAAGAGAATTCAATAAAAAATACAAAACAAAAACATAAACAACAGAAATGATAATCAAGGCCCTCGCAAAAAGACCATCGAAGGGATAAGTTCTCAGATAATTATGATTATTTTAACTCTGCAACATCCCATTTTCTTTTCAAAGTTAGTGGTTGTCCTTAGATTTATCTAAATGATTCTTGATCTTGATAATTATTTCGGAATTCAATAGTTCATGGCATATCATGGTTGGTTTCCGTTAAATCTATTTGCAATTTTATTTCTAGACTCATGGCGAGCTTTTTTGTTGAAAGTGTGCAAGATACAATTTGGTATGGGGTTGTGCTGCTAATCCTACTACAATATTTTGTATGGGGTTGTGCTACTAAATCTTACTTCTGATACAAAGTATGTGCATTTAATATCACAAAAATCAATCATTGTATTACAAGAATGAAGGGTTGATGGAATTTTGAATTACTGGGATGTTCGTCATGGATGAGTTGGAATATCAGAATGATCCAAAATCAAGTATTTATACATGTTTTCAAATAAAGATCCAAATGTGTTCGGTATTGAAATGAATCTTAAGTTTGTTTCACTGCAGGCAATATTACATTGCCTTAGGTTATATTCGTTTGGATTGGTTCCCGCGGATTGATTCCTCTTGGTTGTATATTTTAATTTGATTAATGAATATATCGAATATTCAGTTGTTATATTCCGCTCACTATGATCACTCTTTTAACGAGAAACGATATTGGATAGAAGGCACTGGATTATTCGAGTCCATGAACGGGTTACCTCTTGTCATAAACTTTACACTTACATTTCATACATACTGCATTAAAGGCAGAATACTCTTTTAAATTTGTCAGGAAAACTGTTACTTTGACAACTGAAACATAAACAATACGGTTCTAGTTTATGCATATAATCGTTGTATGTATTTTTTTTTCAGAAACAAAAATATATTATCATATGTTTATTAATGTAGCAAAAAGGTGAAATAACAAAAATACCGAACTCCAAGGAAAATTCGAAACGGAAAGTCCTTTATCAAATGATAAAATCAAAAGCTTAAACACATCGACCAAATGGAAAACACCTGTCATACTCCTGACATAAGTAGAATAGTGTCTATTATAAACCTGCCTATTTTATCAAATGAATTTCATTTGTTTCGTCCTAGATATCTTTCAAGTAATTTGGATGTTAAGCGAGCAGCGATTAAAATTCACCAACCTATCCCATTACATGCATTAGCTTAAAAATACTATTATTATCATTATTACTATTTCAACAATGAATAAACTTACCATCCTTTAAACTACCCCCAGTAGCCTCTAATACGGCACGAATATTCTTGAATATCTATGGAATGAAAAATATGCAACAAGTTGCGCATCATTTAAAAATGCTATGAAAATGTTAGTATTTAAAAAGATATGAAAAAAAAAACTATATTGTTTTTTGGCTACTTGAATTTTTTTAGTCTAGTTTTGTTTCATTGACACTAACAGGAGACCATAGTTCGGTGAAAATATCTTTTTGCAATTTTTTTCTACTAAGTTCGATAAGAGAGGAAGCAGTCATCATCTTACATGTTCTGTTTCAGGAATTATGCTACCAGGAACCAGTCTAAGTGTGACAGGTTCTATTCCCAGTTGTCCAGACAGGTATAGAGTAGTTCCCGCCAAAACTGCTTGACTGAAACATTAAAACATCAAAAAAGTCATAAGAAGAACATTACAAAAATACGTTTTTGTCTTTCAGAAGACTTCAGCTGAACATATAGATTATTTTTTGTTCAGTTTTTTACGGGAACCATTTGATTTTCTATGGTTGGGGAGAGGTTGTATGCAGAATTTTCGCAATATCAATTATTCTACATTTTTTTATATTGACAGCCCTTTTGCTAATGCCATGGCCCTTGTCAAAATGTTTCTATGTTTAAATGTTCTTTCCTGGATGATCAGAGATAACTATATATACCAGAATAAGAAATTGTTTTTTAAGTACGAAGGCTAGGTCTATTTTCACGTGGTCCATATTATCATATTACTGTCCTTACTTTTAGCATACTTGCATTTACGCTAATTTGAACAAACCATCTTATTAAAAACAATATAGTTAAGATCTCATTTCATACAATTAGATGTGTGTATCTCTTCCACACCCGGAAAAATCGAGTAAAATAATCAAATTGATTTTGGATATACATTTCTATAAGTAATTTGAAAGTAGACGTTCTTCTTTGGAAGAATAAGATTTTTTGGGAGTGCTGAAATAACGAAATCACAGTGCATTGCAACAGTTGGTTACAAATACTATGCTAGGTCGCACTAGTAAAAATGACATGGCAATGTACACATGTCGTTATTAGAAATAAAAAGATGTGGTATGAGTGCCAATGAGACAACTCTCCATCCAAGTCACAATGTGTAAAAAGTAAACAAGTATAGGTCAAAGTACGGGCTTCAACATGGAGCAATGACTCACACCGAACAGCAAACTATAAAAGACCCCAAAGAGGAAACCCAACGGTTTAATCTATATAAAAAACGTTAAACGAGAAACACTTAAAAACCACATCAACAAACGACAACCACTGAACAACAGGTTCCTGACTTAGGACAGGTGTAAACAAATGCAGCGGGTTTAAACATTTTAACAGGTGCCAATCTTCACCCTAACCTGAAATAGTAGTGCAACATTACAACATAGAAAGACACACTATAAAATATCAATTGAAATGGCTTAACTCAATCAAAAAGACATATTAACAATACCATGTTTTTTTGAAATTCCGAAACCGTGGTATCGTCATCACTGTTACGCTACGCTGACAAGATTAGCAAAGCAACGTCATCGTTATTTCGGTGTTTGCATGTGTTATTGTTTTATTCTTTGGGCTTTTTTACGTAATTGTGTCAATTCTGTAAAAAAAATATAAAATACACGTATGCTTAGGGATATAAAACTTACACCTCCCAGTGATAAGAAGGGGCAAGATTAGAAAACTAGGTTTATCTGTCAGATTAAAAACTTAGAGAAAGGAAATGTATAAGGGTATATATTGAGTTCACGGAATAGTTAATAATTGGTAAAGTGATATAGAATTTGTGTATGTGAGCAACAATTGTTCACCATAAGGCCTCCAACAATAAACAAAACCATTCGGAAAAAGAAAAAAAAAACCGACCTGATCAATGATTAAACAATCAGCAAAAACAAATATGACAGAAAGAAAACAATGACAATTGAATTAAAGGCTCTTGACTTGGGCCAGACACATATAAAATGTGACGGGGCTAAGCATGTTTGGGGGACCATGCTGCTCACTTTATTTTGGCAATATAATGGAAGTATCTGCAGCTAGCATAGAAGTGGGAGTTTGGTTAGCTATCAAATCCAGGTTTAACCCATCATTTTATTCATAAAATGCCTGTTGACAGCCCTTTCCAGTCGGCAAAATTAAATAAGACAGACAGCAATCAACAACGACTGAATTAAAGACGCTTGACTTAGGCCAGGCACATATATAATGTGACGGGGTTATGCATGTTTTGGGGACCTAAAATGTCTCCATGTACATGATTATCAGACATACGGCACAAAAAAAAAATACAATGACAAAAGACATAAATTACCGATTTAAGAAAACTCGCAGTTACTGTTAGCTAGTTCATAACCAGTTTGTAAATAAATCAATTTCTTCCAGAGTAAAGCATTAATCAGTACACACCAAGTGGATTTAGTATATACATTTCATGATCAGTATTTGATGTTTATGTTCTGACTATTTTTATAGACTTGTGTCTACAAAACATGCTTATTTAGAATTGAAGAACTATTGAACATATGAATCTAAAGACGATTGATTAATTAATTGTTACTTGCGTTCAGTGGCAAATATTGTCATGTATATTTTGGACAAAATGTAGTTAATCATAGCAATGCAACGTGGATTCGGCAATTCGACTGCATTTTTATTTGCATTGACGCACGTAACAACCAATGTAAGAGAAAAATCTGTCCAAAACCCCAACACCTCTTCCCTAAAGCAACTTTTTTGATCTATTGCTATATTTTAAAGTATTTGAACTGATTTCTTGGTTTATGTATTCATGGGTTTGTTACCTTGTCACGTAAGCAAAAAAGGACTTAAGTGGAGATGATTCTTTCCTTTTAAAATCTGGCCAGTATAATTAGTTAGCGCATTTTTGTAATTATGTATTCAAAGTCATATGATACATCAAATTTTATATGTTTAATATACTTGTATGGTTAAGTTTTACTATTGAACACGTGTACAAAGACTTTCTTTTATAAGGAAATCCAGAGTTTTATCCAACAAATGAACTGTTATTGAATTATTGTCTTCCCGTCCTCTAATTCGCCGAAAGATTTTTCGTATGTGGTAACCTAAGTTAACTATGAGATTTTTCGTATGAAATCGACTACAGCACTGCAAAACTGTGAAGGGAAAACCCGTGATGAAAGAAAAGACAAACACACGCTGAAAGAAAATCTAGTTTTAATCGATTCTGGAGTCAATGTCATCTTTTAAATGACTAACGAATTTATGTCAAAAATGTGCAAAAATACAAACTATTTATTGGAAAAAACGTGACCAAATAAACTAATGAATAACAAAAAAATTCAAAACATAAGTAATATACACAAGTACTATCTTGAAACGAATAGATATCCGACTCCTTCAGATTGGAGCATATCTTAAGAAAAAAAAAAAAATATATGTCTTTTTGATTATATTTAAACACCCTAATTCTGACGTAAAATGCTGACAATTCTGACAATTGGGCAAGCGCTCATGTCTAGATAATGAATATACACACACACATATATATATATATATATATATATATATAAAGTTAGATAACTTGTAAAGTTATACTGAAAATTTACCTGGAGACAATTGTCCGTCAAATTAAGAGAAAATGAAATATATAAAATGTAACACATAAGACCTTGAACATGTTGAACAAAACAATATAAAAACTATACAAGGATAAAAACAATTAGACATGCTAGAGACACAAACCGTTTCGGCGCGTATAACGGATGGACGCCGAATGAAGATAATCTTTAACATATCTTTTGCCAAATAATACAATTTGCTATAAAATGTTTTGACACTCATTATTTAAAAGGGGTGCGAAAGATACCAAAGGGACATTTAAACTTATAAGTCGAAAATAAACTGACAACGTCATAGCTAAAAATGAAAAAGACAAACAGACACACAATAGTACACAAACCACAACATAAAAAACTAAAGACTGAGCAACATGAATCCCACCAACAACTGGGGGTGATCTTCAACTATTGTATTTTGTATCCATAGATATTCATATATCGATTCTTAATCATATCTTTCTGCACTTGATCAACATTGTATTAATATACGAAATCTGTAATTTAACTTGAAAAGTGTCAATAGAAGATGTGTTTATTGCACTCGAGCTAGTTAAGATTTGGTGACGATAATAACCATTTCAATACCTTCATTCTGTTTATCTTAATCTATGCATCTGAACTCTGTGAGATTTTACGTCCGTAGATTACACCAAGTCTATTGTTATGTAGCCGGCGTGCACAAATCAATTAGTTTGGTCTGAATATTTAAGTCCATAAAAAAAAACACGAGCAATACAGCACGGATTGATGCGTTCTAGTATAATGCATTGAAAATCGAATTTTTCAAAAGTAAATATTGTCTATTGCAGTAAACATCTATTTATCAAAAAGACATTATTTGTGCCATTTCTATAAGATATTTTTTTATAACCTCAAATATCTATATCTAAAACTATCACTGTTTGTACATCACAAAATATTCAATTTTATTTTCGAAGATCCACAATGACATATTCATCCGATTAGAGAACAGACAAGCGCCAACGCCCATGCTGTTTTCATAATTTATCAGAATCAAAAGATAAAAACAGAAATTCAATACTACATGTACATCCTGCGTAAGAAAAAAAAACACCAAATAAACATCGGTTCTTGCTAATGTTTTACATGCTAGATTGTTTTATAACAAGGTCACAATCGATAAAAACTCGGAACAAAAACCCTAAAAGTATGTTATAGCATAAGTTGTCGTTCAACGATTAATGAATAAAATATTTTGTCCATATTCGTAATCAATACCAAACGTGCAAATAGAACTTAGTTTAATTTTTATATACATACATAAGTTCATAAATTTTTTTAACATTATAATCACCAGAAAATCGTTTAATATGATTTTAAAGAGAAAGTGGGCATGCAAACGGATTTTTAAAAGCGCAGTTTAACATTTATTGTTGTAAAAAAAGAAAAATATAATCCTCTTTTAGACGTGTAGATCAATTATCTCTAAATCAATTGTAAATCAAATGGTTATATGAATCTGGTAAAACTTTTGTGTGAGCTACGTGATATTCTTATTACAAATGTTTGTGTTTAAACAAGTTAAATACCATGAGGGTAATTAAATCTTTAAATTGAAAAAACCTGTAAAACATGAGAAAAAGTCAAAAAGGTAAACAACTGTCCACATAACATTTAATTTACACAGATAACTAAAGATAAGGCAAACTGCCCCACCACAAGCCTGAACAGCAACAAATTTATAAAGAGTTATTTACAACAATAAACAATATATAAACAATAGTTTTGGTGTGTGCAATTTGATATTAAGGACGCTTAACTATGGTTATGGAATGTATGATGTCACCAATCTTTACTCTTATTGGACGAAATTACGGATTTGAACAGAAACATAGAAAAAAAAATATATGCTACAATAAAAGGAAAACATTACGGACAAAAAATCAAACTTAAAAATTAAATTATCCAGATAAATAAAATAACATCAAGTAAAGAAGATGTCATTATCACAACAGTAAAATTGTTTGGATTTTGTAGGTTAAACTTTGATACATGAGCAGGTAAATATCACCGACAGATTCATAAGATCTACAGATGAAGCTAATGCTGGTCAATTAAGCTATAAATAACTCAAGTGCTATAAATATATCTTATCGACTTTGTGTACTTACACGTGCAGTCTAAAATTTCAAAGGGCGATAACGATCCCAAAGAGTACAACATATTATACTTGAAATAAAGAATGTCCACATACATATATCGCAAAGGACAAGGGGTGATAAGGGTTTTTTGGCCCCACCCCCAAATTTCATTTAATTTGCCATGTTGTAACACTATACCACAGACCTTCTGAAAATGGTTGCAATTTGGGTCTATCTTGTATATTATGTTGCTTAGCAACCAGTATAATGGTTGCGATAAACTCAATAATAATATGCTAAATATACAGCTTTAATCTATTTATGTTGAAGATCCAACCTGTTTAACATGCAGTAAATTATACATTTATACACTGTGTTAGTGTGACACGATGTAATGTAAATTTTCGGGCAAAATCGTCGTAATTTCTCTCTAGCAACAAAACTATGCCCATAGCAAGGGCAATTTGTTTTCTATTTTACAAAATTTACTTTAATATGTTGCATCAAAAAGATAATTTAAGATGCACAATGTAAAAAGTACCAAACTCCAAGGAAAATAACAAGGATATTAAAATGCTCAATATCATCAAAAAAGAATACTACAAACAACTGTTATTCTTCAAAAATATGTGGTAACGAAATGCACTTGTAGAGTTCCTCTGTGGTGTAAAATAATCTTATAGTGAAATTGCTGGTTATTGCATTCGTATCATGAATTTTACGTGTACACCTTATTTATTCTTTTCGTTATACAGTACTGATGACATTTCAGATTTTGTCTTTAGTGCTGTATGTTGAGGTGTAAACTCTTGTAATTTCAAATTTAACAGTTATGGCATGACAACTCCCATGTAGGAACTTTCTCTTTTTCGACCTTTTTCTTTATCAACATGTTTCATGTGCTCCTCTATCTTACCGAATCTTTATGAACATTTAGTAAAAGAAACATGTTTTGTGTTGAATACTGTTTCTTTCTCTAATTTTTATATCTGTCGAATCCGTTGCCTATGTATGTCAAATGATGATACATATATTGTTTATGGCTCAAAGGGCCATTAGGAAACAGAAATGGGAACTTCTGGATGACGAATGACTTGATTATAATGATTATAAGCTAAGTTTAACCAACTATCTTGCAACTTGGCTAATATTAAAGTACACATCTCTTTATTTTTATTTCCCTACTGGCAAAGCTGAAAGGGACTTAAGGTTTGCACTACGTTCGTACGTCAGTCTAATAAATCAATTTTCCAAACTTCGTGCTTGAAGATACTGATTTGATATCTGGTATATAGTTTTACCATGACCAGTTACAGACTAAGTTTGGTATTTTTACTGGACTAATAATTTTTTTACACTTGGAATTAGAAAATTCACGCCAGTAATCAGTTTTCAGCAGTTATTTTCGTCATGCTTATGTAGCACTCCAGAGTTAGGTATGTAGTTTTGCATTTTGGCCCTTGTGGATTTTTTAAATATGAAAGCTAGTGTACAATAAAATTCATTTTTGGTAGCTGACGATCAATATAGCCTTCACAGTTGGTTTATTTACAAGATTGTGTAATGTATGTATTATAGGCTGTTTTCTGTTTGACAGTCCGTATTTTCATATCCATACCAGACATTGGACCGGACGTTTGTCGCACGAACTTTGTGATTACATTTTACGAAAAAATGAGGAGAAAGATACCCAATTTTCATTTGCGCATTTGGTAAATTAATGTCAATTGTTTTACAAAATGTATCACTCAAAGGGATTGAAATTCTAGTTTGAACCAAATTTTGGGGGGATATATGACATTTTATCTCCTTTTTGCAATATTTTATGGTAAATAAATGCAGAATCTTGCCATGGATACACACAAAAATTAATTATACTTCACCATTTTAAGTTTTGAAAATCAAATCTATGGAAGATACTGATTACATAAAATATGCACATATATGACACAAACAGTTGGCTTAATGTATAAGAAAGGCAGGAATAGAAGATGATTAAACATTTTGTGGTTCAATTTTAATTTTATTTTTTTATTGTGGAGTGCTACCTTAAAGACATTGATTTGATATTTGGCATGAAGTTTTACCATGACAAATTACAGATCCATTTTGAATTTTGTTCGGTTCGGAAGATTTTTTCCAGAGTTATGGTCCTCGGACTTAGAACATTCACCCAAATAATCAGTTTTCCGCACTTTTTATTGTTATGCTTGAAGATACCGATTTGATATTGTTATACAGTTTAACCATGACAATTTACAGATCAAGTCCGAATTTTGTTTGGTTCAGATGATTTTTTTGCAGATTTGTTGGTCCCTCCAGGTATTTCTCTGTTGTAATGTTTGCATAATAAACATATTAAAAGAATAGAAATCACACTGTCTGTCGATCTGTCTATTATTCTTGTTGATACAACTCCTTTAGTGACAATTTATTCACAAGAAAAAACTTCAGAACTTAAAAGCATGAAACCAAGTGGTGTGATAAAAAATGAATCCCAATTTTCTCATGATTTATTTAAATATTTAGCATAAAATCGTTTAAGTCTTTTTTTTATTATATTCTATACTGTTTTCTGGAATTAAGAATTGAGATAAGCAGAAACATTAAAAATGTTCAGATTTTGTTAAATTATATGTCTATCTTCTAGTTAAGGAGAATATAATTTTTTCTCCAAATCATCGTTGACTCCCTTACACTATGTATAGTTCATTGTTTTCTTTTTAAATTAAAAATAAATATACTTACGAAAAATGATAATAGAAATTCATGTTTCCAATTCATAAGTGAAAAGGTCAAATATATAAAGGCATAAGCATGTATAGATTAAATTTTGACAGAAGAATTGGTTGCATTGTATAGTAAAATTTCTGCGTTTTATTGCGCTGCTTGGCTATGAAAAAATATTAAATAAACTATCGCACCAAACTTGCGCCAAAAGTATTTTTATCTGAGGTTTAATATGTATGAACTTGTCTAAATATTACAATTTCAAATTGGTGTAAGCATGTTGCGGTGGTCAAAATTAAGGAAAACCACCCCAGTTTCTTTATTTTTGCTTATTTTCCTGATTATGACGTCATTTACGCTCACCATTGTGACATCATATAACTTTTTTGTTAGATAAAAAAAGTGTTTTTCAAATCCTTCACTCTAGTTTTTATAATTAATGAAAATCATATGAAAATATGATCAGTTTAAATGTTTGTTATTTCGTAAATCTGGGGCCATTTTTGGCAATCATAGCCCCTACTCCTTTAATTATTTGTTAAAAGCTGTATTATATAGATAACTTCCCTTTGGCGTCCCGTCCTCGATATACACGCAGAAATACTAAGTAGATTGTATCTCTAATTGTTAAAGTTGTGCTTGACATATATTTATATTTGACATTTCTTCATGGTTCTAAAAAGCTTGTTATGCATTACAGACTGTTATCTAATAATATCTTATGTTTCTGTATATTAACTTCTTTATCTATACCTATAT